ACGCACAATCCCTTTGGAGATCTGCGTGCAGCTGGGAGGCTAGTCAAGGGTTGTGATGGCAGGCAGGCTGGCTCCTCGCAGAGCCTTACGGCCTCCTACGGAAACCACCAGCACCCACCCAGTGCGGGAGTGCTCCCCCTCTTCAGCATCTATGAGATATAAACATTCTGAAAGAGACTCACTCCGCCCAAAACTGCCCACCTTGAAACACACAAGCAAACTGAACCCTATGGCTCCCCGCCCACAGGGCCCAGCACAACCCTTCAGAGGGAGTATTCTGATTCCGCCTTTGGGGATTCCTTCCGGTGACTCCACCGCCCAGTCTCCACCCATTTCTTCACCACTCCACCACAGGCCGGCGGGACCAGAGGAAGTAACGTATCCAGCTTGGTGCGGGTTACTTTCGTCTTTGGGCTTTCTCAGGGGAGGGGGCACAATACAGACCCGGATAGCAATCTCGGGCATTTGCAGGGCCACTCAGGTTACCAACGCTCACAGGAGCCTGAAACACTGGCATTTTAACTACGACTCCAGACCCCATGTGACCGACTCCCTTTCACACCTGCGTCCCAGTGCCTCAAGATCCCTCCAACTTGAGAGGGAGCCTGGGCCAGTGAGGACAATCTAAGCGACCTCGGGCACGCCACAATGCTCCTCAGAGCCCAACTGCCCCCAAAGCACAGTGGGAACAATAAGCTAGCCCGCCTGCCAGTGTTGTCAAGAACGAAGGGTTTATAGGGGCCTGGCCCACAGCCAGGAGGGGCAGTGCCACCTAGTCCTAAAGGTGGGCTATCTGTAAAGCAGACAAGGTGGCAAGAAGCTCCCCTGATAGGGCCAAGTGGGGCACCCCCCAGGAAGGGGAGCCGAGCCTGCCTCCCAGGGCCTTACTGTGGGAGGGGAACAGAAGCTAATTTAAGGCTCCTCCTGCCACCGGTGCCAGGCTGACATCCACGCAGCCGCTCCCTGAGCAGCAGCAAGCAGCACCCAGCACAGCTCCAGAACAGTGCAGGAGTCTTCACTGCAGACCTCCTGTACTGCCCCCTTCCTGAGGACCAAGTGCTGCAGCCACTCTCCCCATCCCCGCCCCCACATGGCCTCTCCAGCCCCGGGCACCCAGCGTCCCTGGACCTCGGCTGTGGCATCCCCTAGAAGCACCGCTCTCAATCAGCACCTTTCACGTCACCTGTCCCCATGCCATCATGTTGCTCCATTTACTTCCTTCCTGACATTGACCACTAACAAGTCCTTCGTGCTGATTTCTGTGCTGTCCTGTTCATTATGTCTCTTGCCTCTAGAATATCAGCTCCTGGCACTAGGGGCCTGTCTTGGTCACTTGTGAATGTCCAACTCCTCAGCAATGGACTGTGTCCACACTTCCTCAGTCTTCTCTCCCAGAAGTAACCTATCACAGCATAAAAGGAGATCCACAGGGGTTGCTCCTTCAGGACTCACTTGAATTTTTTAAAAATATATTTTATTTATTTTTACAGAGACAAAGAGAGAGGAATAGAGAGTTAGAAACATCAATGAGAGAGAGACATCAATCAGCTGCCTCCTGCACACCCCCCACTGGGGATGTACCCGCAACCAAGGTCCATGCCCTTGACCGAAATCAAACCTGGGACCTTTCAGTCCACAGGCTGACGCTCTATCCCTTGAGCCAAACCGGTTTCAGCTCACTTGAATTTTTATATTCAAGGAGAAATTGCACAAAACCCCAAATCTGGTTGGCTGGTGGCTGTGTGTATTACCGCGTCTTCACCTTCCATCAAATTTCAGGCAGGTCCTATAGAGATCAGGGGCTCAGTCAGATTCGGGTGGATGTAAGAGCCCAGGCCTTCTGTCTCCAGGGCTCTGCTCTGACCTCCAGGCAGGGACTGGCTCAGGGTAGAGGCACCAAGTGTACACGAGGAATCAGGGATATGCTGAGGGGCACACATATGCCAAAGGATCCCCGCAGCCAAGAGAAGGAGGATTTGGAGCTCAGAGTGGGCCAGGTGCTGGGATCCTCAGAGCTGTGAGCAGAAGGATCTGGACTGGCAAGGGTCAGGCTCTGCTCCAAGACCTCACACAGGTAGAGGTGAGATTCAAACCTAAAAAGGCTCCAGTCTCCAGGCTTCTTAGGCCCCTCCCTGGGCCGTCAATTTTTCTGAACAACAGCATGCTCCTCTCCACCCAGGAGAGGAAAAGGTGACCCAGCAACAGAGCCCACCAAATCCAACAATAACATGCCCAGGTGGTGAGGCATGTGCTCCAGGAAATGGTCAGGGACCTGTCTCTGAGAGGCACATGAGGCTATCTTGGAAGAAGGAACTATGGCTGAAACTGGTTTGCTCTGTGGATAGAGCGTCAGCCTGCAGACTGAAGGGTCCTGGGTTCGATTCCGGTCAAGGGCACGTACTATGATTGCGGGCACATCCCCGGTGGGAGTGTGCAGGAGGCAGCTGATCGATGTTTCTGGCTCTCTATCTCTCTCCCTTCCTCTCTGTAATAAATCAATAAAATATATATATATTTTTTAAAGAAGGGACTGTGTCCACACTTCCTCAGTCTTCTCTCAGAAGTAACCCATCACAGCAAAAAAGGAGACCCACAGGAGTAGCTCCTTCAGGACTCACTTGAATTTTTATATTCAAGGAGAAGCTGTATGAAGCCCCAAGTCTGGATGGCTGGTGACTGTGTGTGTTACCACATCTTCACCCTCCACCAAATTCCAGGCAGGCCACTATGTCTGCACAAAGGCAGCTCAGACTTCAGATCCCCGCTGGAGAGAGAAATCTCAGGGACTTCTACGGGAGCTGCTCCAACAGCTAGGATTACAGGAAGTTCCTGTCAGTCCCCTGCCACTTCTGAATTTGTACAAGCCTCTTCACAATTAAAAAGTAAAAACAAAAATCCTCTCCACAAATTGCCATTGGCAAACCATTTAACCACAGCACAAGAGAACAGGAAACTCGAGACACTCTTAACAAAGCTGCGCACCTAAGGTTTTGTTAATAACCAATACACTGTTCTTCTGGTCACACAAACAAGTTCTTCAAGTCGCCGTCCCCGTGTCCAGCACCCAAAAGCACAAGAGCACCTGCGTTGCTCTCCTTTTAGCCCAGTCTAGCACATTGCCCAACGGGTATGATTCAATACAAAAACTGCCAAGTCACTTAAATTTCCAGGCAGCTTCTGAGAAAAACACAAGCTTAGGTCCCCCAAATTTAGGCCAGCAAGCCAAGTTGGCCAGGCTAGCTTGAAGAAGCTCTTTGAAGGAGTCCCTCCTAGCGACTGACTCTAACCTACACAGCTGGGCTCCGTGTGGAACCTGCCCGAGTCTGCAGTTACCTTCACCCTCACAAGAGGAAGATCTAGCTGTAGTCAGGGGATGTAAGCAACACCCTAAATTAAAAATAGCTGTGTGACAACATGAGGTGAATGCACAGACAGGCCTTCCGGAGGACCAATGGATCCGGCAAGGGCAGCATGACAGGGAAGGCGGGGCTCCTAACCCAAAGTGACCAGGTACCAAGTTCACCTTATTTACATGACTCATGAGCTCTCCCTCAGCTGCCTCTAGGAAGTCTGCCTTCCCGCAGGACGAGTCACTCAGGATGGAATTCTGCAGGGAAGGGAGGCTTAAGCCAACCACTGGGCCCCTACCTCCTCCTCCTCCTCTTCCTCCTCCTCCTCCTCCTCCCCTACAGGAGAGTGCCTCGGCCCTCACCTTGAAGAATCTGTCTCACAAGATGAGAATTCGTTCTTACAAAAAAAGATATGGTTCCCCCACCTATGAAGGGGAAACTGAGACATCAGAACTGGAAGAAAACTGCCCAAAGAGGTGGGGGGGAAAACACGGGAAGGGTGGGCACCTGGGAAAGAAACAGGGGAAGAAATTCCCCGTTTAGCTAATGGTGCCGAACAAGTCCGGGGCAGGAAGAAAGCCACATTCCTTCCTAGTTAGTCTCTCTCCACACCCGCCCAAGGCCCCCTCATTCCGGGTATACACAAACACACACACATACACATACACACACGGACTGGGGCCTCCTCGGCCACCGCTGACTATAAAGCCCCCACTTTTCCAGGCAGGAGGAAAAGAGCTCCCCTAAACCACCTCTCCGCAGAACCTGATCCCTGGGCACCTGCCACTTCTGTCCTAACACGGACTGAGAGTGCCGTGTCACACACAGAAATGGGAAGAAGCAGGTCTGACCACAGACAGTCCCAGATGTGCCCCAAAGTCAGGCCTGAAAGAGGGGGCATGGCAGCCTCTTCCCCACCTCCTGCCCCAGGCCAGGTGGCAGAACTGAAACATCTTGAACTTCCCCCCAGATGGGCCCAAATGGACCCCTGAGAAGTTCAGAGTCAGCAGCCAGGTGCGGTGGCCAGAGCCCCCTCCCAGGTGCCCACCGCCGGCTTCCAGCCCACATACACAGCTGCTTCCCCACAAAACACTTCCACTCTCGGAAGGAGGGCTAATGAAACAGGGTCACCTGGGGGTGAGGGAGCGGGGGGGGGGGGGGGGGGTCAGACAAACTACCAGTATCTGTCCAAATTCTGCTTCCCAAGAACCAAGAGTGATCCCAACTCCGGCGGCCTCACTGGAGAGACTCCAAGACGGCACCCCCACACAAACGGAGCAGGACCCCACAGGTGCCTCTCTGGCCCATCCCACCAAGGACTCTGACCGAGAAGCCTCAACCCCACCCCCTCCGCTCTCCCCCCGGCCAGGTGAACAGAGAAGTTCCGGGTGGACAGGGAAGGATCCCCGCCGCCTCCAGGTGCCACACAAACGCCCCCCTGGCTCAGGCGCGCGAGTTCCGGCCCCACCGCCGGCCTGGGCCTATCGCCAGTGCCGCCTCCCAGGACCCAGGAGGAACGTGATTCTCGCACCCTGCCGGCCCATGGGTCCACACACAGCACCCCGAACGCCGGAGCCCGCGCCCCGAGGCCCGGACGCCGGGCGAGGGACACGCGAGGCCGGCCTGCACCCCGCCGGCCCCACTGCTCACCTGGCTGGAGCGGTAGGTCTCAAAGGCTCTCAGGGCGCTGTCGGTGAGCTTCACGTGAAACACGGACACCTTGCTGCCGTCGCTCACCCGCCCGCACGACAGCCCGTAGCTCCGATCCTCCTTCAGTGCCGCCATCTTGCGACCATTGCTACCCGGCCCCCCTTCCCGGCTCCGGAGCGGTCGCGCCGGCCACGCCACGCCCCGCCGCCTGCTGACGTACTGCATTATTCATGAGGCGCTGCCCACGCCCTCTTTGGATCCGGCGAAGTTTACCGACGCCACACAGCCAGCCGACGTGCTGCATTATTCATGAGACGCAGCTGGCCACGCCCCCTGCAGCCTTCAAGAAGCCCATAAGTCACCGCCCCGTTCCTGCATATTCATGAGACCTGGGAGGCCCACCTCCGGGGCACACTTCCGCTCCTAGACTCCGCCCCAACACGCGCATAAGTCTAGACCCCGCTCATAAATATATTATTCGTTAAGTGTGACTCAACGAGGCGCGTCGAAGTCCCGCCCCACCAGCCACTGATGTGATGTATTATTTATGAGGTCTGTTTGGCTTCTGATGAGTCCTAATGAGTGGAGGGGGCGGGGCCGGCGCAAAACACGTGGAGGGCGGACCCAGTAGCTGGTCGGGATGTTGGGCGTGGCCATGCAAATCAGCGCGCGTTGAATCCTGGGTTGGGTGGGTAGGGTGTAAGGTGGGTGAATAGGATTAGACCTCCCACCCCTTACCCTTAGGGCTTTTAGGGGATTAGGAGAGCTGGTGAATTTTGCTCACGATGAGATAAAATCTTTTAAGGGATAAAAATTTTACATCCCCAGGAGCCTTGACAGATGATTGTCCAGCATCCCCATCTTTAAAAAACGTTTTATATGTTACAAAATTAATCAAAGTGTAAAATTCAGTGGCATTTAGTATATTTACAATTCTGTGCAGCCACTATCATATCGAGTTCTAGAACACTTTAATCACTCAAAAAAGTAAACTCTATACCCACTAAGTCACTCTCCACTGCCCTCTCCCCAGACCCTGGCAACCACTAATTTAATTTCTGTATCTATGGATTTGCTAATTCTGGATACAGGCAGTCCTCAGGTTACCTGGACTCCACATAGGTCGAAGATCGTTTCGTGGTTATGTTGCCATCTCCCATTTACTTATAAAAAAAAGTTCCATTATTTCAACATATGTACATATGTGCTTTATGCTTTTTATTATTTACCACAAGTAAAGGTCAGGAATTGTTATCTATTAATTTTTTTAATGTTTCACTTCATTACTGCTGTGTATTTGCTTCATGCGAGTGTCGTAGGTGCTAGGTAGGTGGGTTCTGACTTACGTGCCGTAGGAATGGATCTCTGATGTAACCCGAGGACCTACTGTATTTCCTATCCATAGGGTCATATGTGCCAGGCTTCTCTCAGCATTGTTTTTGAGCTTCATCCATGTTGTAGCCTGTATCAGTGCTTCATTCCTCTTTATGGCCAAGTAATAATCCATTGTGTGGATTGACGATTTGTTTTATCTATTATCTGTTAATGACATCTGGGTTGTTGCCATTTTTCACTATTATGAATAGAGATGCTATGAACATTCATGTAGAAGTTTTTGTATGGATGGATGTTTTCCCTTCTCTTGGGTCTATACCTAGGAGTGAAATTGCTAGGTTATTTGGCAATTCTATGTTTAACTTTTCAAGGAACTGCCAGACTGTATTCCATAGACACTGCCATTCAATCAAGCTCTCATTGCACAGATGGGGAAAAGAGGCTGAAGACAGGTGCTAGCTCACCTAGGAAAGCTCCCCCTGAGCTCCTGACCTGCGGAGCACTCTGGAGTAGTCTTCTTCCTCCCTTTAATTACAGGTGGTAGTCATAGGATGAAGATTTTGAGGTAAGAGGAAGATGAAGTTCAGGGACCTTCCGTATGTCCCTGTCCAAGTGATCTCCTTAGTTCCAGGCCAGCACTACCATTCACTTACTCCCCTGACCATGAACTGCTGAGGACCTGTGCTCAATGCGTGACATCCATGATTGCCTTTGGGGGTGGATACAGTGGTTTTCACCCATCAGCTAGAGAGGAAACTGAGGCTTGGAGAGGTTAAAAGAATTACGCTGCAACCAGAGACTTCACTGCTTGGTAACAAGCATTTCTCCACTTTATACTCACTACCCCAGAGCCTCCCAACAGGACCCCAGGGACAACAGAGGAATCACCAAGCATTGATATATTCTCCAATTTGCTCTCTAAGAACTAGGTCACCCAAGAAACTGAAAGCCACTACATCTCTTTGGAGTAGCCCCTTGACACATCCTCTACCTAGCAAGCTCACTGTAGAATCTCTAGCCATAATATTGACTATGCTGCTGCTGCCCAGACATAGGGCTGTGAGCTCACTGTACTACCGACCCCCCCATTGTTGGTCTCAAAGAAACACCCAATTAGGTCCCATCCGGGTCCCTGTTTTTAGTTAACAGAAATAAGACAGGATTGGGTAACAGGCATAGGGAGTGTGAATTCCTGGGAACTCTGGCACATCACATCACCCCAGTAGCACAGGTATGCTGTGGCCCAAGAGGGAACCCCATCCTCCCCACTCCCCACAGCTCTGACCCACCCCTAAGTGGCAGTGAAAGCAGGCGAAATGCAGGATGGGAGGCTTTATTTCACTTGGGGTGGTGGGGAGAGCCTGGACGGAGGGCAGCAGGCTAGGCAGGAGGGGCTGGCAATTGTACAGGAACTGGATGGGGGAAGGGCTGCCCTGAGGCCTTGGGAAGGAGAAACTGAGGCAGGCCCCTGTTGAGACCTAACCCAGGGGGGAGTGGGAGAGTAGGAATTGGGTCTGGAGGAATAGGGTCCCCTCCTTCCCGGCTGGACATGGGGCCTGGGCCCTGCCTCATTTCCTCCTTAGGGCCTCAGCCCCTCCTGCTCACTGGGCCATGCAACCCTCAAACCTCACTGTCCCTGCCCCAGAGGAGGGGGGCGAGGCCAGAAAGGGTAGTGGACAGGGAGTCTGGGAGAGTTAGGGAGTGCGGGATGGGGTCCACGGTGCTCAGAAGGGGTAGCGGCCACTTGGCAGTCAGTTCCTGGCAGCGATGACCACAGAGAGAGCCACGCCCCCCAGGGCAACAGCAGTTGCTCCAAACAGCCACTTCCATGGGATGGACTGTAGATAAAAGGGGAGGGAGGAGGTGGCTGGAGGGCAGTCAAGACTGGTATCTTGGGCGTCAGGTACCAACACAACCCACACAGGCCTTCCACTGCCTAAGCATGCATTTCCTGCCTCCTGGCAAACTCCTACGTGTGCATCAAAACTCAAGCTAAGCCAGGACCGGTTTGGCTCAATGGATAGAGCGTCGGCTTGGGGACTGAAAGGTCCCAGGTTCGATTCCGGTCAAGGGCATGTACCCTGGTTGCGGGCATATCCCCAGTAGGGGGTGTGCAAGAGGCAGCTGATCAATGACTCTCTCTCATCGATGTTTCTGACTCTCTATCTCTCTCCCTTCCTCTCTGTACAAAATCAATAAAATATCTTAAAAAAAAAAAACAAAAAAAAAAAACATTAAAAAAAAACTCAAGCTAAATTTCACCTCCTCTGGGTAACTTCCCCTTCCCCTCTGGAAGAGCCATCACTCCCACCCCAAATCCTACATGTTGTATTCCACCTTCTGCTTTGACCTGGGTCACATGGGATTAGGGCCTGTGTCCCCAATATGGTCCAGCACAGCCCAGGTGACAAGGACATCAATGTTTGCAAGATGAAGACCCTCTTTACATAGTCTCCTCTGCCCTCCCACAGGAAGCCTCCTGGCCACCAACCCCAGCTCACCCAGGCACCCTTGCCAGGACACTTAGCAGGCAGCCGGCTGGGGTTGCCCAGCATTTTCCGGTACAGGGCGGTCTCTGTGCTCCGCTGGGCCGCGTGCTTTTTCACTAGCTTCGAGAGCTCCGCGTGGATTGTCTAGGAAAAGTGAGTGGCGGTTGGGCTAAGAACAGGTGGCAGCAGCAGCCAATGTGGCCAACTTCACGGGCACTGTGCCCTTCTGGTGCCCTGGGTCACTCTGGGATTAGGACCACTGAAACACAGGGGCTCCATCTACCCTCTGGGCGTCAGCAAAGTGGGGCTGCCATCTCCATGCCTCTAGGGAGCCTGTGGACGGAGCAGAGCACAGGTTCTGGGAGAAAAGCTGGGACACTGGCACTGGCCAAGCTGGCAGCACCCTTGGCTTCTGGGACCCCCATGTTCAGGAACAGCCTATGTAGGGGACATGAGGATTGTAGCAAGCTGGCTGGGGCCCTTAGCCACCTGCCCCTTCCCAGGTAGAAACACAGCAGGAAAAGCCACAGCAACAATGAAAAATGGCCCGGCTATTGTGAACCAAGAGATCACTGGCTTGATTCTTGGTCCGGGCACATGCTCAGATTGCATGCTTGTCCCCCAGCAGGGGGTGTGCAAGAGGCAGCTCATCAGTGATGTTTCTCTCTCATTGATGTTCCTATCTATCTCTACCCTTCCTCTTTCTCTAAAAATCAACAAAAAATATTTTTTTTTTTTTAAAAAGGACTAAGGGCAGATGACAGGAGGGCCTTCCCAGACAAGCCACAGGGCAAGTTCCCAAAGCACCTCTGTTCTTCTCACCTTGTTGGAAGGTTCCAGCTTCAGGGCCGCCCTCAGGATGGGGATGGCCTCGCTGTACTCCCCTTGCTGGGCCAGTACCTGTGAGAGAAAGCATCACTCTGGACCTATACTAGTCCACGGTTTCTTTCATGAAACCCAACCCTGCCAGGCTCCTGACCACCCTGACAAGTCCCAAATCTAACCCCAGGGGTCCAGTTACCCTATGCTACGCTCCTGAACCCTCAGACTCTAAGAGCACCCCACTGAATTCAGTGTTGGTCCCCTAACCTTCTCCTTTCCTGAGTGTCTGTCTTGGTCTGTAAAGGAGACCCGGTCACCCTCTTCATCTACTCCTCCCGCACCACTCTGACTGGACATTTCCAAAGTGAATGATTCAGAACCAGCAGGTAACTCAAGCCAGCCAATGAAATCCAGCCTGAAATATGCTAATGCCACTGGGAAGCTGGTTGTTAGGTGGCAAAGATGCAAGCCTGCAGCTTTTGGGGGGCAAGAGGGAGCATCTTGGCTGCTCCCAAGAGAGGAGCCTGCCTGAGGGGGAAACCCACAGCAGACACAGTATTCCCACACATTGCTAATGCCTGGTCCAACCCTGCCTGAACCCAGCCACATGGGACTTGAATGTCACAAATCAAGTCCTCCTTTTGCTCAGATCTGCGCACTGAAGAGTCCCAGGTTCGATTCTGATCAAAGGCACATGCCTGGGTTTCGGGCTCAACCCGCAGTAGGAGGCAGCCAATCAGTGATTCTCTCTTATCACTGATGTTTCTCTCTCTCTCTCTCTCTCTCTGTCTCTGTCTCTGTCTCTGTCTCTCTCTTCCTCTGAAATCAATAAAAAATATATTAAAACAAAAAACAAAAAAAAACAACTCGGCTTTTGTTCTGAAGAAGGTAGCCATGGAGGATTGTATGCAATGAGCAGTCATCATTGGGCCACAGGGAAATGTGTGGGAGCCTAAGGCTTGGGTTCACGTCTGGCCTCAGTCAATGAATTGCTGTGATTCAAGTGATACCTCTGCACCTGTCTGGGCCTTAAGTTTCTCTATCTGCCCTTTCAAACCCTGGATTCAGAAGCAGTCCCGCTGGTGTGGGTTTGGGGAGCCGGCCCGCCACCCGAGGCCCACCTTGCCCTTGCGGAAGAGCGCCTTGATGTTGTCAGGCTGGTGCTCCAGCACGAGGCTACAGGAACGCAGGGCGGCCCGGTAGTGGTCCAGCTTCAGCTGCGAGGCCGCCAGGTTGTTCAGACACTTCACCTTCAGCTGCAGTAGTTGCTCCTCCTCCTCAAAGGTCATGTCCACTGTGGGGGCGGGGGGGGGAGTGCTCAACCCTGGCAGCCATTACCACACCACCAGCCCCTCACAACCACCTGCCCACTACATGACCTGGGACAAGGCCCACCCCCCTGCACCTGGTGGAAGGGGAGACTAGGTAGGGGTCCCAGTCGTGCGAAGTTGCTCCTGAGGGATCTGAAGCTTCCCCGGCTTCAGTCTCCCCGTCTCTGACACAGGCCAAGACTGCTCCACCCTCAGGGCAGGGCCAAGGAGTCTATAAAACGGAGCTAAGTGAAGCAGAGGCTTAACCGCGGGCATGTGGAGGGACGTCTTCTGCATTCATCCATGCCCCCATGTACCAGTATACCTGCATCCTGTGACATCACACTGATCTGGGATCTGCCACAGGGCTGGAGTGGATCCTAGCCTAAAGAGGTCTATGAGAATCTATCCGTACTCTGGAATATTCTACAACGCTCTGAGTCTCAGGTCCTGTGTGGCTTGAGGTTCTTGGCACTAGCAGACACCTTTACAGGGGAGGTGGCGGGGGTCACCTTTGGCGCTGGAAGTAATGGCCTTGATGGCGAGGTCATAGGAGTTGGCAGCCAGCACGAAGTCAGCCCGCTGGTAGTGAGCATTGCCGCACTCCCGCTTCCGGTTGGCCAGTGCCACACGTTCCTGCCCTGTGAGCATCTCCAGATCAGGTCCATCCACCGCTGTCTTCAGGGTCACCTCCAGGCACAGGGCCGCATGAGGGGGGATGTATGGGCTCCTGCTGGGGGATGGGGCACGGGGAGCACTCAGACCTGGTAGCCACCACGACGGCACCCCAGACACACTGGGCAAGCTTGAGGGCAGAAAAGGACTCAAGTCCTAGAGCTGACCTTACTCGTTAAAACTTAGGGAAAGTAACCCTTTCCACCCTTAAGCTATGACTCACACCTACCTCCTCCCTACCCCCGTAGGGACCCCTGCGGCAGCAGGTTCTCACCTGCCCTGGGGGCCATAGCAGTACTTGGAATCAGCAGTGACCATAGCAGTCTCCCCCACATCCATGAGTGGGACACTGAGATCCAGGGCCTGGGTGTGCAAAGGTTAGGAGGTTCAGGTGGGTCCAGGTGCAGCCTGAGCCCCCCACCTTGTCATCAATACCTCGACCTTCATTACTCCCTCCATCCCCCCTCTACCCTACCCCACCCAGCCCAGACCCCATGCCACTCCCACCTGGATGACGTCACAGTCACCCAGGGTGAACACCAGTTCTGGCTCCTCCTGCACGCGTGTGCCGTTCTCCAGCGACGTCTGCAGTTGCACTGTGACCACCTGACCCTTGGTCGGGCGACTGGAGCCGGGTGGGCCTGGGACCAGCGTCTTCTTCCTCAGCAGCCCATTCCCTGCCAGGGACCGAGGACAAGCAGCCTGTCACTGGGTGGCTCAGGTGGGCACCTGCTCTCCGTGCCCCTTCCTCCCCAACCCCCACTAACTCTGCCCACCGCCAGAGTGGCCTAACACCAGGACCTACGCTGAGCTTCTAAAGACTGCCCTGCCACTGACTAGGCAGGTGACCTCACGCCCTGGGCTTCAGAGTCCCAGTGATTTATGATATGTGACTGGTCAGGAATATACCGTAAATCTGAGTGGATCCTCATCTAAAAGTTAGGGATAGGGAGATAGCCACTCATATTCTGGAATATTCTATGACGTTCCAAATGTGTGTGCTGCAATCCAACTTGCACATGCCCCAGCATCCAGCCTAAGAACCACTGATCTAGTGGATCCTGGGGAAGCCTGTATCTTGAGGTTTTGGGGTACTAATGGTGGCTGTGCTGACAGGGTCACAATCAAGCACTGCCTCTCAGAGAGGGAACTTTGGGCAAATCACAGCCCCTCTCATGGCCTCGGTCTCCTTGTCTAGAAGCCTGAATTCTGACCTCAGAACGCAGCTGACTGTGAAGAGGACCAAGGCAGCTCCGACTACCAGGAGAGAGAAGCTGCCCAGACTCTAACATAGCCAGGAAAGCTGTGTAACTCGGGAAGCGCCCTCACCTATCTGACCCTGTTTCCCCATCTGTAAAACATGGGTATGGTAGGAATTAAATGATAGGGCTGTTGCCGAAACCGGTTTGGCTCAGTGGATGGAGCGTTGGTCTGTGGACTGAAAGGTCCCAGGTTCGATTCCGGTCAAGGACATGTACCTTGGTTGCGGACACATCCCCAGTAGTGGGGGTGCAGGAGGCAGCTGATTGATGTTTCTAACTCTCTATCCCTCTCCTTTTCTCTCTGCAAAAAATCAATAAAATATATATATTTTTAAAAATGATAGGGCTGTTGTGAGGATCAAGTAAAATACTGCACAGGCCTGGCACAGAACCAGTGGACAGGCAATATTACCCGGTGTTACTTTTAGTAGTAGTAACATTTTTTATCAGCAGTGGGGTGACATTAGTAACAATGCTATTTAATCAATATTAGTATCATTTTATACTACTGCTTTGGTGTCAGTACAAACGGTAGTAGTAACAATGACGTTTTACTACTATTTGTGTTGTGCTAACATTATTTAACACGTTAGGTATCAGTACTAGTAGCAACACATTTCTCTAGCTTCCAGGGAAATGTTGCTGCGATGGGGTCCACGGTGGGGACATTTGTGTGGATTCCCCAAGTCCTCTCTTTTTTTTTAATTTATTTTAAAAATATATTTTATTGATTTTTTTACAGAGAGGAAGGGAGAGAGATAGAGAGCTAGAAACGTTGATGAGAGAGAAACATCGACCAGCTGCCTCTTGCACAACCCCCACAAGGGATGCACCCGCAACCAAGGGACATGACCTTGACTGGAATTGAACCCAGGACCTTTCAGTCTGCAGGCCTATGCTCTACCACTGAGCCAAACCGGTTTCGGCCCCAAGTCCTCTCTTGAAAGACTTCTCTGAGCATTAGAATACTAATGAATACCACGAACCAAAGAAATCAAAAACAAATTAGGATGTTCCCCAGGTCTATGTGATCTCAGGACACATGTCCAGGGGTCAGGTACTTATCAGACAAATGCCAAGAAAAGAAGCTGTGGAGGTTGTGAGCTGCTGGCGCCTGGTGTGCTGTGCTGGCTGTGTGACCCTGGACAGGTGACTCAGCCTCTCTGAGCTGGTGTGTGCTGGTGTGTGTGTGTGTGTGTGTGTGTGTGTGTGTGTGTGTGAAAGAAAGGGGGGGGGAATATAAAAGGGCTTCATAGACATGAAGCATCTCATGCAGCTGCCTGTTTCTGGCAATCACCGTGGTTACCACATTTTATTTCCAACCTACTTCATGGCAGAGGTGGGGAATGAGGCTCAGAGAAGAAGGTTTGGGTCAAGATCACTCCTGACTAGGCCCTGTGGGTCAACCCAAGCCCCCCCGCACCTTACCCAGGATGTCCAGCCACTCGTCCGGGGCTGGGGCAGGCTCGGGCTCAGGCTCCATGGCAGCCAGGAACTCTCGGGCCAGGGCCCCTGGCTGTTCAGTCTCCTCCAGTGGGGGCTGTCCCATGTCCTCTAGTGGTCGCAGCTCACTCAGGTTCTCCTCTTCTTCCTCCTCGCCCTCGGTGTCTTCCACCCCATCTAGCACTTCGAAGTCCTCCAGCGGTGGGACCCCAGCAGGGGGTGAGGCAGCAGGCTCAGGGCCCATGGCGGAGGGCTCAGCGCAGGATGCCATGCTGCTGGGGGGATGGGAACTGGCCCTGGTGGGGGGAATGGATGGGAATAAGAATCCCACCCAGCCACTCCAACCCTCCTGTATATCCATCCATCCTCCACACTATGAGTCACTTGCTGTGTGACTCAGGGGCTCCAGGCCTCAGTTTCCTCATCTTCACAGTGGGTAGAGCAACAACCCTGGCTTGTCCAGAGGATTTAAGGACCCAAGCATCAAGCATGGGCATCAGGCTCAAACACAGTTAACTATTATTAGCGCTGAATGATATTTAATATTTATAAACACCCCAGGAAGTAGGAAACATACCCCTACATTCTTCAGAAAAGGAAATTGAGGCCCAAAGGAGCAAAGCTATTTGCCCAAGGTCACAGCAAGCCAACTGCAGGAGTAGGATTTGAACCTGGGGCTTTATCTGATTAAACGCCCAAAGATGCTGGGGTGGTTTTCAGATGAGCAAATCCTGAGGTCTTGGGGAGACTATTTTTAGACCCCAAGTGCAGGAGAACTGAATCTTTACCAGAGCTCCCCATCTCCAGCTGCCCCTTCTCTTAGAGGGAGCTCCTGCTAACTTCCCACCACCCAGAAACCCAAGCCTTTTCCTTCCATTCTGAGCCTGAACCTTGGCCCAAACTCTTCCTGGGAGCTGTTTCTCTTCTCCTCAGGCCTCCTGACTACCCTCCCAAAGTGGCCTTTATTAAAAAGGAGTGATGATCCTCCCCGCATTCTAAACCCTCTTCTTTGGGCCATCAAGGACTAACCCCCTCCCCCAGGCCCTGAGCTCGGAGGTAGTACAGCCTGGTCATTCTAACCCACCGCATCCTCTATCCCTCCCCAGCCCTCACCTGCCTGCTCCTTCGGGCTTGGGCCCCTTTTCTGAGACTCTCCCAGCTCCTAACCCCACAATCCCCTATACCCGTAAAAATCACCCTCCCCCCACCCAACCACCGCTCCCAGGCTGGGCCGGCTAACCCCACAGCCATCCTATCGCCCCGCAAACATGACTATGTTCCCAGACGCCCCCCGCTCCAGATCCCATAACACCCTACGCCTTCCAAACGCCCCCCGCCCGGGCCTGGCCCACCGTCAGCCTCTCACCCAGGCCCCCAACGCCCCAGGCTTGTTTGACGCCACCAGGCTGAGTCCTCGACCCCCCCCCCCCAACCCTCAAGCGCCCCCGGCTCTGCACGTCTCTGCCAGCAAAGCCCCCTAACACTCCTCGGATCTCCGAAGCCCCGACCCCCGCTGCCCCCGCCTGGCCGCACCCCCTCGGTCACTCCGACCCCCCGCACACCCCGGCTCGCCTCCCCCGCGGCCCTTCGCCCCGCCCCTCGGCTGCAGCCCCCGCCGCGCCGGTCCCCGACTGGCCTAGGGCCCGGTCAGCGCTCCCGGCCGGCGCGGCCCTGCCAGCGCCCCGGGACACGTGCCTCCGGTTCCGGGACCCCCTCTTGGGGTCCTGCGCCCCCCTCCCCGCCCCCAGCCGCGGCCGCCGCGCCTCGGGAACTAGGCTCAGACGCCCGGCCCCGCCCACACAGCGCCCACTGGCCAGCGCCGCCGCCACTACAGCGCCTATTGGCCCATGCGCACGTCCATCTTGAACGCAGGCACCTCCCCCTTCCTGCTTGTTTCCTCGAGACGTTCTTAAAGGGGCAGAGGCCTCCGTGAGACCGGAGGGGGGCGGGCGGAGGCACCGGGCTCTGAACCAGTTCCTTTGCGATTCAGCGCCTTGCAACCTGCGCGATTCACCGCTCCGGTCTAAGCTTCGTACTGTCCATCTGCGAAATGGGGTTAAATACCCTAATCTATGCACTCTCACCTTGGGGGCTGTTGGGAGGATAAATAATATTTCCTTTAAAGAGTTCTGCAAAAACACCCTTAAGTCCTAGTTATGTAGACCCGAGGCCCTGACAGGGAAAGACGTGCCTACCCTACGTGGTCGGTTTAATCCCCAAAAGGTTGCCTGGTGCATAGCAGAGTTATGTCTAGGTGAGTGACTGAGTGAACACAGCCGCTGGGGGCAGTTCCTCCTCTCTGCACCCTCTGCCATTTGGTGATAAAAGTGTCCACTTGCCAGGGCGAAGGTGGCTGCCTCGATTAGATGGGTTTTTATGGATCTTGTTTTGAAAGAGGGAGGCACTTACTCAGCCTCGCTCTATTTTCTTTCCTTCCCAGCTTGTTCTTTTGCTTTGGACCCCCTCACCCATATCTGCTCCTTCCTAGGAGGAATTTTGCTTCTTTTGTCCCATCTCCTTTAATGGTGCCTAGTGCCGTTAACAATAAATAAATGACACACTGGCTTTGGAAGTAGGTGACACTGTAGGAGGTAACTGGCTTTGGATGGTAACTAACATGTTAGATCAGAGCTGGAGAGTCACTTCATACAGGAAACCCTACCAGATTTCCCCAAAGCAAGGCCAGGTGCCCAGATTGGCTGTTCCAGCATGCTGAACCTCCACTTCATAACTGACTTCTGACTGTGCCATCACTTGGCCTTACTTCTGCTTCACCCACTAGACTGGAAGACCCCCCCCCCCCCCAAAGTTGGAAAGGACCTGTAGTTCCTCATTATCTTAGCCCTGAGGCCTATTCTGTGCATGACACAGAAGGTGGGGAAAATAATGGTGGAAGGAAGGAAGTAGGCTGGGCAGCCAGAAGAGGTGGGAAGGTCGCTGGGATATGTGAGAAACTCTCCGGAAAGAATATCAAGTAAACACCAGGCCAGTCCCAGCCCTGTCCATTTCTGTGCCTCAGTGTGTTTATCTGTAAAGCAGAATCATCCTTCCAGCCCCACCTCTGTACAGGGACTGGTGGAACTGTAGTAAATAATACTAATACATGAACAATTAAAATAAACAGATATAACCTAATAACACCAACCATTTTAACAATAATCATGGCTGACACTCAGGTATCACAGGGATAGGCAAACATTCTACATGTATTTAATCCTCATATTAGCCTTATGAGAGAAATATTGGTACTTTGACATTTGGAATCCACATCATTAGCTGCAGAGTTGCAATCTTCGTATCTTCCTGGTGAAAGGAACTTGTGATTGTTGTGATGTGCCCTTGTTAACTCCACGCTTCTTGCCTTAAGAGTGGATTTTTTTCTGATATTAATATTGCACACCTGTTCCTTCTTGGTTAATGTTTTAAAGGCTCCATCCTTTTCTACCCCTTATCTTCCATCTTTTTGTATCCTTATGTTGTTTGTACATGCTCTCTTGAAAGCAGTATAGAACCAGTTTTTGTTTTTTGATCCATTCTGCCCACCTTTGTCTTTTAACTGTGGCATCTGGTCTCTTTAAATTAAAAAAAAATATTTTTATTAATTTTTTACAGAGAGAGAGAGGGATAAAGTTAGAAGCACCAATGAGAGAGAAACATCAATCAGCTGCCTCCTGCAACCCCCCCACTGGGAATGTGCCTGCAACCAAGGTACATGCCCTTGACCATAATCGAACTGGGACCCTTCAGTCTGCAGGGCTCTTTCCATTGAGCCAAACAGGTCACGGCTCTGGCATACCTTCTTTATGCTCCTTTTCTCTCTTGGCTTCTTTAGGATTAGATGCTTGTAGCTTGGAAAGACTCTTATTATCCTCATTCTACAGATGGGCAAACCAAGGCACAAAGAAGTTAATTCCCCTTTTAAATGATACTTATGAAGGGAACAATGGGCCAGGTCTTTTCCTCCACTGACCTTCTATTCTAGCCAGGAAGCTAGATACTGCACAAGCAATAATGTAGATAAGAATCTAATCTCAGCTGTGATGAATGCTACATAGAAAACTGAAAAAATGTGGCAGAGAAAGGCGTCTAGTGCTCAGACTTAGACCTTCCCATCAGCCATGTCCCAATCACTGAGATGGCTGAGTGTTTCGTTCACTTCTCATCTTCTCCCTCAAACACACAAAGGAGAAAAATATTTTTCTTGTCTCCACTCCACTGAACACAAAACATTAGGGACGGGCCAAGTCCCTTTTGGTGTCAGTGCACAGCCCCACTCCCTTCCAGGACCCTCATAAATGTTTCCTGGCCTTTAACAGAGCCCCAGAGACCCACCGAAAAGCTTGATTTATCCAGCCTGGGTCTCTTCGGCTGCAGCCTGCGCACAGAGCCACGGTTTCACTTTTCCCAGCAGCCCCCAACCTGGACTCCTCCCAGCACCGGCTGCTGTCTGCATCACTGAACTCCACAATTTTTACAAAGACCAAGTCCTGTGTGCTTTCCCTCTATGTACCTTTGCTCCTGTGATTCCCTCAGCCTTGAAGGAATGGCAGCAACTAGAAAACTCCTAATCCTACCTCAAAATCCCATCTAGATATACTTGCTTCCTTGCACCCAAAAATGTACCCCATTCTTCAGCTTCCTCCAGCTTTGAGTTTCTCTTTCCTCTAGCCCAGGACTGTGGCATTTTGGGGCTGGGAATGTTTGTGCCAGACTCTCTCCCTTTGCCCTCCAGGGCTAGGCAGGGACTGGATGAAGTACTCTCTGGATCCCCAGGATATGGGCCACATCGAGAGGGGGTGGTTAGAGGGTTTTAAACTGTTAAACTAAATATATAAGAATCTTGTCTTCATTAACTTTACGGTGAATAAAGGCAGCAGTGTGTGTGTGTGTGTGTGTGTGTGTGTGTGTGTGGCGGGGGGGGCTTACAGTGGGCCAAGCCTGTTGTAAGTATCTTACATGCATGATTTCATAAAGTTAAGACACTTGCACAAGGCCATCCAACTAGGATATAACAGAAATGGAAATTGGAGCTCAGATATGTCCAATTTCAGGGCTCTTAAAGAGTCTTCTCGGCCAAGAGCACATGCCTGGGTTACAGGCTTGGACCCCAGTAGGGGGCATGCAGGAGGCAGCCAATCAATGATTATCTTCATTGATGTTTCTACTTCTCTCTCCCTCTTCCTTCTTATCTAAAATCAACAAAAAATATATATTAAAAAAGAGTCTTCTATGTGCCCAAGGGCATGTATGTACCTCCCAAGCTTTCAACAACCTCAAGAAACAGATGCTGTGATCATCCAGGCTCCCAGTTAACAAACTGAGAACCAGAAACATTATAACGTAGCATGCACATATCATAAGGCTTCAACCAATGATAATGAATTGTTAGCATTTATTGAACAATTACTATTTGCCCCATTTTGCTCATGATTTTCAATATACTAGTATACACAAAGAAACAAATATAGTAGTAAATGTAGATGTGTGTATGCATGGATTAATAGACATACAAACCTAATTCTGACAGCTGAGAGAGTCTCTAACCAATGAGCACCACCCAGTACTCAGAGCTTGGTTTTTATTTTTATTTTTATTTTTTTTTATTAAATATTTTATTGATTTTATACAGAAAGGAAGGGAGAGAGATAGAGAGTTAGAAACATCGATGAGAGAGAATCATCGATCAGCTGCCTCTTGCACACCCCCTACTGAGGATGTGCCCGCAACCAAGGTACATGCCCTTGACCGGAATCGAACCCGGGACACCTTCAGTCCCCAAGCCGACGCTCTATCCATTGAGCCAAACCGGTCCCGGCAGAGCTTGGTTTTTAAATACCAGTCTATAAAAAAATTAACCAGGCTCCTCAGAGAAATGGCTGATTCCAACGATATCCCAAAACAAGCAAGGGAAAACTCAGAAAATGCTCAGAGAAAGATGGAGATATATTAAAAGGACATAGGAGCTAACTTAAAGGAGCAGCAAAATAAATAATATATAAATTAATTATAACATACAGAATAAAAAATATTCACTAGTTCATAGTGATATAAATATGTGACTAAATACATAATTGGAGAATGGAGAGCTCTTGTTTAAAAGAATAACAATTAAAAAAAACACACACAATTACCATTATGCAAACATCACAGTAATAATTGTTGCTGGAAAGAGCCATGGATAGATGCTAAAACTAGTGGATGAAAAAATATATATATATTTTATAATGTTAAAACACACACACATACACACACAGAAAACCTAGGGTCACCCTAGCTGGTTTGGCTCAGTGGATAGAGCGTCAGTCTAGGGACTGAGTTCCCGGTTAGATTTCCATCAAGGGCACATGCCCGGGTTGCAGGCTGGATCCCCAGCAGGAGGCGTGCAGAAGGCAGCCGATCAATGATTCTCATTATTGGTATTTCTTATGTTTTTATTTCCCTTCCTCTCTGAAATCAATAAAAAATATATTTAAAAACCTACGGTTTTGCATGGTCTAAGGTATCTCCCCATAAGTTATTAATTGCAAAGGCTAGAATAACTTGAGAAATTGGCAAGACACTGCCAAAAGCAAGTCATCCATCAGTCAACATCGCGTGCTTCCTAATATGATGCATTGAGGACACAACATCGCTTCTATGAGATCCCTGCCTAAACTCCTTAATTTCAGTCTAATCCTGAGGAAACACTGGATAAACCCATATTGGTAAGTAGTCTACAAAAGCAGTAGTCTTCAAACGTGTCAAGGTCATAAAAGATTAAGAAAGACTGAGGAACTGTCACAGAGTGGAGTCTAAAAAGACGTCACTAAATGGGATCTTGCACCAGGGGGGAAAGAAAAAAAAAAGTCAGCAAAAAGCAGAGCAGGGATTTTTGAACCCAGATGAGTCTGATTCCAAGCCTGGAAAGCAGGACACTTGAGTCTGGGTCAAACAGGCCACTCGAGCACTTTACGACATTTGGGAACTGCCTGCCGCTCTCAGACCTGTCTTACCATCTCTAAAATCGGACGTCTTTCAGCCTCGTCCACCCGCTTCCGCTCTGCCTAGAAGCTCCGGCTTTGGGAACTACGCAGGCGCGGCAGGGACTGCGGGACTGGCTCTGCCTTTTGACGCACACGCGAACCGGAGCTGAGTCTGAGCCCCGCCCCTTCCTGCCGCGCCTCCACGTCCCCAAGTTGGTTCCGGGCTTGAGGCCTCCTCGCGAGTTCCTACGCAAGGTGCGTGGTGACGTCACGGAGACGCGGTCGCCATCCCGGAAGCGCGAGCAAGGCCGCCAGATGTGCAGGTGCCGCTGCCACCGACGCCGGGGGCCTGAGTTCGGGGTGGGGCCGGGGCCGCCAGGACCGCTGGGGAGCCAGGCCAGGTCGGGCGCGGCCCCCCCGGGCTGTCGCGGGGTGGGGCGTGCCACTGGACACTTCTGGGCACCTCTCCTGTACACAGGCCTCAGTTTCCCTGTATGTTCAGTGGATCCGGGTCCGGGGTGCAAGAGCTGGGGCCGCCTGTGTTCAGACTGGGCAGAGTCACCCAGAATCGGGCATTGCCCTGCTTAGGCCTGTTTCCCGCTTTGCAGGGGTGGGGCGTGAGGGTCTATGTCCGGGAGTGGGAGTCCCGCCCCCACTCCGGGGTTTTGCTAAGCTTGGGTGGCCAAATTATTTTGTTAAATGACCTGGGTGGAATCATGGCGCCTTGGCTCCTCGCCATTTGACCTTGGGCGACGGAGCCCACCAATGTTGAGCTTTAGTTGCTCTCGAAGGGGAACGATAGTGTCTATCTTGTAGGGGAATTGGGAATTAAATTTACTCCTAGTCTTGGAAGCACCGGGGAGGCCTCCTCAAAACCCGAATTCCCACGTCAGTCCTAGGACTTCTTTATACTCCCCTTGGAGAAACAGCCTCCTCTATAGTTCAACTTTTTATCACTGTTGGAACCGTCACAGAGTGTAGTCTAAAAATATTTAACTAAAAGGGATCAGCACTGTAAGATTCTGATTGTTTATTACCATTTTCTGGTTGAAAAAACTGATTGAGGTGACCCTCCTGAGGTCACACAGCTTCTCTTTCTGCGTGTTTTCCTCATAAATATATTTGGAGCAGTGCCCAGGTCCTTTTTGGGGTCATTTCCACCCTTTTGTGATCCAGACTGTTAGTCAAGGAAGCCTTCTTGAGAGAGACAGCTGGGAGTGGAGGGATGTGCCTTGAATCCCTCACATCTGGAAGCCAGATACAGGAAAGAGCCCTACTTTGAAGCAGAACCATTTCCTGCAGGTCCAAATCCTGTGACTGCCAGACTTTAGCTACGGTTCTCCCCCCCACCACACACACACACAAACACACATACAGGGCTCTGACCTTTGAGCCCAAATATCCTGTTTATACATGATCATGCTTGAAGTGTAGAGACTGGATGCCTGTGCCTGGCACATGGTGAGAGCTTAATAAACAGTGATACTGGCAGGGGGTAGGATTTCACCAGGTGTGGCAGCTTATTTCCAGAGGCAGGTGGGAGCTGCAACCTGCTAGCCAGATTCAGGGCACAAATACTCCTGGCCTCCATGATGTTTATTTGCTAACATTTGTAAATTAGACGATTTCATAGAGAAAAAAAAAAATCTCCAGTTCCATTTTGTTCCTGGAAAAATCAGAAGTCTGTTAGGAAGCAATTGCTTAAAGAAGCTGCTGTGCTGTCATGGGTAGTAGATACTGAACACCTGTGCAGATTCATGACTTTGTAGATCCCGTGTACTATGTGCATTCTTGTGACTCAGGTTCATTGTCTGTGTGACAGTGGCCCAGTGGCTTAGTCTCTGAGCTTCAGTTTTTTTGAATATTAATAAGGATAACAGTTCCCGTGTATAAAGTTGTACCTTGTTTAGCTTAAAGTTGGTGCTCAGAAGAGGGTGGAGTAAGTGGAATCTGAAAGCCCTTTCTGATCCCTGTTAAATCTTTGCCAATGGCAAGTAGGCCTTTCTATTGACCATTAAATGCGTGGGTCCAGAACCAAGCTATGTCAAAATTCTGGGTTTTTCTTGAAGCCCCCACCCCACAGGAGGGTCAGTGCTAACACTGTGGCCTTTCCTGCCCTGGCCCCCACCCACTGCAATGGTTATGTGTGCCAGGGAAGCTGAGCCACAGAGTCATCTGAGTTGCTGGGGCCCACAGCCTGGCTGCAAGTGCCTAAAATTCTTGGCTTAATTTGGTGTTAAAATTCTAGCATCAGAGGGTTTGAAAGGTCTTGTTTGCCTCTGCTAAATGAAGTTCTGGTGACCCCTTGATGTGCGCCAGGTTCTGGGCTGGGCTCTGAAGACAGAAAACATGCAAGACACACAGGCCTTGACTCTCTTGGAGCTGATATTGCTGTGGGATGAGAGGCAAACAGGTCAACTATGATCATTTCAGATAGAAATGAGCCAGTGAAGCAAAACAAGGTGGAGTGATGAAAGTGACCAAAGTAGGGGTATTCATCAAGGACTTCCTGGGAGAGAAGACCCTGGAGGTGGTGATGATCTGAGGGGGCAGCCAAGCATTTTCTAGCAGTGGGGACAGCAGGTGCAAAGGCCCTGAAGTAGGAATGGGCAAAGACAGGGGAGGGTGTTGGTGGGAGGAGGCAGGCAGATCAGTGCAGGTTGAAGGTGCCATTGGCCTTGGGCACATTGAGAGTGGGTGTGGAGAGATGGGATTCTGATGTACTTAGGTACAAGTTATAAATATGACCTCCTGCTGGAATTCTCAAAAACCCTGCATTCCCACGATGTCAACACTGAGGCTCAGGTGGCAAGACTGACTCACTTTAGCAGCCTGTGGGGTTCCCAGCCCCTTCTCTCTATCCCATCTTCCCCAGTGCCTGATGCAGACCGAAGACTTTCTTCCTGCCTGTTTCAGGCAGTGGAGGAGGAAGAGATGGATCCCCCGGCCTCGGCCTCGAGGGTCTTCTGCAGCCGCATCCTGAGCATGGTGAACGTGGATGATGTCAACGCCATCATCCTGGCCCAGAAGAACATGTGAGTGGTGCCCACGAGGGCACATTTAGAGTGGCCCAGGTGTGGGAAGGAATCCATTTTGCCGGCCAGCATTCTTGCCCTTGCCCACCCCTACCCAGACCTCACACTGGTGGCAAAATGAAGGAAATAAGCAAAGCTGCTGGCTGATTCCAAACTAAATTTTTCCATGGCCTGAGGTAACGCCCTAGCACAGGAAACAGGGCTTTAGGATGGTTTTGCAGCTGTGGATGGCTTGGCAAAGACCACAGCAGCTCCTGAACCAAGGCTAGGGTAGAAAGTTGGGAGGATAGGATGGGGATATAAGGTAGCTGGCGGGCTGACTTCTTGTTGGGAGCCTGGTGTCTCAAAGCCTAGACTGTCTGCAGAGCACCTGGGTCTCTTGGAGGGACCATGAAAGCCCTTTTGCTCTCCCTGGGCGTGGCACCATGGCTACTGCAGCCCCTTTCTGATTTGGCCTGATCTTTGGGGAAGAAGGGCTAACACAATCTTGGGACTTCATTTTTGTATCTTTTTTTTTTTTTTTTTTTAATCCTCACCTGAGAATATTTTTCCATTGATTTTTAGGGAGTGAAAGAGAGGGGGAGGAGGAGAGAGAGATACATTGATTAGTTGCCTCCCACACGGGCCCCAATTGGGGCTGGGGCTCGAACCTGCAACTTAGGTACATGCTCTCAACTGGGAATTGAACCTGAGACCCTTCAGTCCATGGGCCGATGCTCTAATCATGAGCATAACTGGCAAGAGCATTTTTGTGTCTTTAAGCCGAAGGTTCTTCCCTTCATTTGGCACAGCATGAACCTGATACTCTTTATCTTCTTGCTCTGTGACAGGATTGCTGGGTATGTCTGGGTATCAGCAATACTCCTCTTTCTCCCAGTTCTTTTTTAAAAAATATATATTTTTTTTTATTGATTTCAGACAGGAAGGGAAAAAGAGATAGAAACATCAATGATGAGAGAGAAATCCCACACTGGGGATCGAGCCCACAACCTGGCATGTGCCCTAACTGGGAATCAAACTGTGACCAGGTCAATGCTAAAACCATTGAGCCATGCTGGCTGGGCTCTCCTAGTTCTTTATGTCAGATTCAGACCTGGCCCTGGAGAATTGCTGTGGTGAGGGGACACAAACCTTCCTGGCACCATGGTATCAGGGTTAGGCCAGAGAAACTACTTGAGGTTAAGGGAGTCAGAGAAGTCTGAGAGAGTGAAAGCTACATGAGAAAGGCACACTTGAATAGGGTTTTGAAGTTTGAATAGTAGTTTGCTACTTGGCTCAATCAAGTAGAGCTTTGTAGGACAAGGGAATGGCACATAGAACAGGAAAAGGGCTTAGCATACCCTGTGGGCAGAGCCCTGGAGCCTGACCAGAAGCACTGGTGGCCTCTGCTACCAGGCTGGACCGCTTTGAGAAAACCAACGAGATGCTGGTGAACTTCAACAACCTATCAAACGCCCGCCTGCAGCAGATGAACGAGCGCTTCCTGCACCACACGAGGACCCTGATGGAGATGAAGCGGGACCTGGACAGCATCTTCCGCAGGATCAGGTACATACTTGGCCCCACTGGCCTCTGCCTCGCCCTCCGAGCCTCAGGTCCTCCCGTCTTCAATAGGGCCTCCACATAACAGAGTAATGGGGAGATCCAACTCGCTTGTTTTTCAAGGCTTCCTCTTGCACTTAGCATCCAAGATATGAACTCTGGCATAAAAATCACAAAGCTTCTAAATTTTATTTATCTTGTGAAAAAAAAATGCATCATAGCACCAGACACATGATGCAAAAAGCCAGCCTCCTGCCCTGCTATCCCTCTATCCAGATTTTCTCTCAAGAAACATATCAGATTGCTGGGTTTTAAGGGATGGGAAGCCAGCATTTCTCATTGGGCCTCACCCTGGCCCTAACACAGATACCCTCACCGAGAGTGCCCACACCGAGGGTGCCCTCACCAAAGGTGCCCACACAGAGGGTGCCCACACCGAGGGTGGGAGTTTTGCAGGGCTGAGCACCTGGGACAAGCAATGAGGGGAAAATTCCCACTACCCACTCACCCAGAGATGACAGCAAGGGTTGCTAACTTGCATGTGGCCCAGCCTGTCCGCTCAAGGGGTTCAGCCTATCTGCCTTCTCTTGTCCTGCAGGACGCTGAAAGGCAAGCTGGCCAGGCAGTACCCAGAGGCCTTCAGCCGTAAGTGTCACCCAGGGTTCCTGTGCCCCATATCTGATCTTTGCAACCTTTGGATGCCACCTTCTTCAGCCTAGGGCTGGCTTTTGGAAGGTCACCTCAGGGGCTGGTGGGTAATGGGTCCAAAGAGTCCTGGGACAGGGGGCAGATGTGGGGGTGCTAGCCTGGCCTTCAAGGCAACTGTGGAGCCGGTGCTGGGACCAGGGTCCCCTCTCTGGGGGGAGGTGGCAGGGACAAGAACAATAGCAATCCTTGCCCCAGTGAGTGCTACATACCCTTACAAATAGGCTGTTACCCATCACCAGCTATGAGGTGGGGACCGTATCCCCATTTCACATGGCGAAACTGAGGGCCAGAGGGGCACCTGCTTGTCAGAGGAAATCGTGTTCCCTTACAATGAGCCTCAGTTTACCCCAGGTGCTAAATGGGCCAACAGCTTCTACCCCACAGAAAACCAGAGGTAGAGGCAATGCCATTGCCATCAGCCCCAATTTATCGAGGAGGGAGCTAAGGCAAGGGCAGGTGAGGGGCCTGACTCAGGTGACGCAGTAGAGGGCAGAGCCAGGCTCAGGCTTGACCCCAGGACCCATATCAGCCTGATCCAGAGAACCTGAGTCCTTACCTCTCTTTGGAGGCCTCTCATCTGCCTGAGCCTCAGTTCCCTCTGTTGTAAAATGGATGAAGTCATGTCCCATGGCAGGGTGGTGGTGGGGGGAGGGGTCATAGGTCCAGTTAATCGTGGTGACTAAGCCAATTTCTGGGCCACCTTCCCGCAGACGTCCCCGAGGCATCCCTCCTGGAGGATGATGATGAAGACCCCATCCCACCCAGCATCACGACCACCATTGCCACCTCGGAACAGAGCACAGGTTCCTGTGACACGAGCCCAGATACCATCTCACCCCCCCTCAGCCCTGGATTTGAGGACCTGTCCCAAATCCAGCCCAGTTCCCCTGCCTTCAATGACCACGGTCAGATGGATGATAAGCAGATGCCGGGCCAGTAGCTCTGTTCCCAGGCACTCCGAGAGGTTCCAGGCCTCTCCAGGTGTCTGAGGTGGCAGCAGATAACCCTGCCTGGAAACGGTCAGCTTTGCCACCCTATTCTGTCATCCAGGGCACCCTGGGGGATAAGGCTCCCTCCCAGCATTGTGGAATTCTGGGGAATCTGTCATTCTCGCTCCTCCTTCACTGAGGCTGTTTTTTTCCTGCAGATCCTCTGCCGGGCCAGGGGATGAGCAGCCAGCTGGAGTTGTTGGGCTGGGCACAAGGAATCTTTTCCAGAGCCAGGCCTGAGGTCTGCTCTGAACAACACTTAAAGGTTCCCAAAGACAACAGCCAGATATCCCCTGTCTCACCACCAACTAGTGGACAGACACTATCATGCCTCAGTTCACTCCCACACCTACTAATTCTGGTCTCCCTGTCCCTTCCTCCAAGGAAAGTATTAAATACTTTCTCCGATCAGTATCTCAAGGAGGTTTCTGAAACAGTTGTAGAAAGCTCAAGACCATCCACTCAGCCCCAAGTGTGATAAAAGCCCACATTTGTCTGACCAAAGGTGTGAGCCCTGAGGGCCCTGCAGATCTCTCCCAGGGCCTCCGTGGAGCCAAGCCACCTTGGAAAACAGAATTTAACAGAATATTTTTGTATCCGATGTTTACAGATGCTGTTGGGAAGTTATCAATAAAAGGACTAAAAAAAGAGAAGGGTGTGTACCCAGCAGTGGCTTCCTTCCTTCCATCCTTGTGACCATCCGCTCAGAAGGGAGACAAGTGCTGGAAGTGGGACAGGAGGGGGTGCAGCCATAACCACCCAGGTTCCTATAACCATTGCTCCAACACCATTTCTTTACCTCAGCGATTCCCAGCCTTTTTCATCTCATGGCACACATAAACTAATGCTAAAATTCTGGGCACAACATAAAAGTATATTTTTGCCAGTATGAAAAAAAATGTTTTAAAAATTCTTGTGGCACAGGGGTTGAAAATCACTGCATACTTTACCTTCTTGAATAACTCCTCCAGCTTTTAGTTGCAGGGTAGGCTCCTCAGGGAACTGAGATGGTCCCTTTCCCCATTAGAAACTCGGAGTCCTTGAATCTTTGAAGCACTTGCTTTTGCCTGACCCATAGGGACACTGGGAAGAGTTCAAAGAAATTAAGAGGTACGCTGCCAAACCCACAAGTAACTTCTAGGTCCTCACCTCTTTCATTCGCCCGCCACTTTTTAGCCATCCGGGAGTCTGCTAGGTCTCACCTCGTTTTTGTTTTTTAAAGTATAATATTTTTAAATGTAATATATTTTTATTGATTTCAGAGAGGAAGGGAGGAGAGAGAGAAACATCAATGAGAGTCATTGATTGGCTGCCTCCTGCACACTCCCTACTGGGGATCGATCCCGAAATCCAGGCATGTGCCCTTGGCCGGAATCGAACCCAGAACCCTTCAGTCCGCAGGCTGAAGTTCTATCCACTGAGCCAAGCCAGCTAGGGCTAAATATATATAATATATTTTATTGATTTTTTTACACAATGAAGAGAGAGGGATAGAGTTAGAAACATCCATGAGAGAGAATCATCGATCAGCTGCCTCCTGCACACCCCCTACTGGGGATGTGCCGGCAACCAAGGTACATGCTCTTGACCGAAATAGAACCTGGGACCCTTCAGTTCCCAGGCCGACGCTCTACCCACTGAGCCAAACCGGCTATATTTTTAAATTGATTTTAGAGAGACAGGGAGAGAAACATCCATGTGAGATAGAAACATTGATTTGTTGCTTCTTAATCGCTGGATGGAACCCACAACCTGGGCATGTGCCCTGACCCAAAATCTAACCTGCGAACCTTCTGCGCATAGCAAATCTCTCAACCAAGTGAGCCACACCGGCCAGGACCCCACCCCATTTCCTTGAGCCGATGCACCAATCCTACCTGTTCTCCCCGCTCCCAGGCGCACCGCCGCCAGAAAGTTTTAGAATAACTGGCTCCGGATGTCAGGTACCTACGTGGCTCCCAAGGGTCCCACGCCTCCTACCTTTTCTGCTACACCCCGCTTCCTATACCCGCTTCCTATCCTCTGCTTAATGCCTCGATTTAGCACAAAAGTCTACTCCGCCCAATAAGTACTCCAGTTCCCAGATCGCCGGGTCTTCCTTCAGCCGACCCTGAACCAGCGGGTGGGAACACCTGGTAAAAACACCCGCTGAAGTGCGGCAGACTGCTTAGGCGACCCGCGGCGGAAGTGCACACCGGAAGCAGGTGAGCGCCACTCCCGGAAGCAGGTGAGCGGCACTCCGGGCCTCGTTCTCCCGCACACCACTCGGCGGCGGGGCGGGGCACGACGCGCGGCGCGAATTGTGACGCAGGCGTGCAGCGTACTCAGTGCGCAGGCGCCCTCGGAGGCGATTCGGCAGTTTCCGGTTCCGCCGTCCTCTTTCTCGTCAACGAGGCGGCGGAGCAGGTTGGTGGTAGTGTCCGTGCGGGTCCGCGTCGTGTCGGGGTCGAGCGGGAGGTACGGGGCCGAGGCGGCGGAGGGGACGGTCCATCCGAATCCGTTCGTGCGGGCAGGGCTCCGCGGGCCAGCTACGTAGCGCGAATTGGGCCAGGGTTCTGGCCCCCAGGAGGCGAACCGGCCTTTGGGAGGATGGCTTGCCCGCGCCGCCCGCTTAAGCAATTTGACGGGGCCTGGGGGTGGCGGGAGGGGGGAGGAGGGGGCGGGAATCGGTCTCCTTGTGCTGAACCAAGTTAAGGCGAGGGATAGTAAGCATGTAACTTTTTCTCTGTACTTTAAAAGTATTAAGACCTTCACCCGCATCCCCTAAGTAGGGTTCCCATCTATCTCCTTTTCCACATTTGTAAAGAAGAATCCGGTAGTGTACACGTTGTAGGTGTGTTTTTTTGAAAATGAAAACAAATGCCTGTATAAACAAGTATGTGGCACCTGGTTGGCAGATAGGTTAGAGCAAAGCAAGAGGTGTGGTCTAAGAAGTTTGGGGGTAACTGAGAAGGAAGCCAGAGTGAGGATGAGCTATAGTTAGTTAGGAGAGGACCTGGATGGGAATGACTATTAAGATGCGATTCCCACCCAAACTGCAGGAAGGATACCTTGTAGAGATGTGGTTAGGGATTAACGAAGGGGGCAGAGGGAGGGAAGACGGATTGATGGAACCTCCTGATCACACTTGGGGAAAATGTGTAAGGCAAAATGGTGCCCTGGCCAGGTACTTCTCGTTGCAGGCACTGGGGTGGGCCTACATTAGGCTCCATGAAGGGACAGCACTGGCAGACAGGGCTTAGGCAGGCCAGCTCAAAATGCTCAGGTCTGACAGTACTCCCCACTTTGTTCCAGCCTCCCCAGCAGACGCAGAAATGCAGATCTTTGTGAAGACCCTGACTGGCAAGACCATCACCCTTGAGGTTGAGCCCAGTGACACCATTGAGAATGTCAAAGCTAAAATCCAAGACAAGGAGGGTAAGTTTGTGTGGCTATGGGTGCTGAGGCTTTGCCAATGCTGCTTCTTCGTAATTTCAGGAAGGCATTTTTATCTCTATCTGGGTTTCCCCTCTGACAGATTGGGGTTAATGTTGGGGAAAGGGGAGGAAAGAGGGAGGATGGGCGAGGAGCTACCAATAATGCTCATCAGAGCCTCAGTAACTGAATTTCTCTCAATCCCCAGGCATCCCACCTGACCAGCAGCGTCTGATTTTTGCGGGCAAACAACTAGAGGATGGTCGCACTCTCTCAGACTACAACATTCAGAAAGGTACCGGAGACCCTCCAGTGCGAGGCTGATGCTCTCACCATTGAGCAACACTGTCCAGGGCTGTTACGTCTTTTTAAGCTTCACCTGAAGACATGCTTGTTTGTTTTTTTGTTAATCCTCACCCTGGGATATTTTTCCCATTGACTTTTAGAGTGGAAGAGGTGTGAGGGGCTGTGTTGATCTGTTGCCTTCCTATACACACCCGAAACTTAATTATTGGCCCGACCAAGAATCAAGCCTGTAGCCTTTTGGTGTAGGGGATGAAGCTCCAACCAGCTGAGCCACAGTGGCCAGGGCAGAGGGGGGTGGTCCTAAAGGTGAGGATCAGAGAGGTGGGGGAGGCTTGCTGATAAGGTACTGTTTTGGTAAACATCTCATGATGGATAGCTGTATTTCCAAATGGCAGTAGTTTCCCATGTTCTCATTCACCTTACCTTTCCTTTTGTTAGTCTTCACCTGAGGATATACCCTCTTTCCCCAAAAATAAGACAGTGTCTTATGTTAATTTTTCTCCCAAAGTTGCGCTAGGCCTTATTTTCGGAGAAACACAGTAGTTCTCATTGATTTTTAGAGTGGAAAGAAGGGGAGAGAGACATAGATATAGATGTGACACACATGGATTCGGTTGCCTCCCACACTTGCCCTCATCCAGGGCTGGTGATCACGCTTGCAGTCCAGGAGCTGATGCTCTTATCTACTGAGCAGATGGGCTGGGGCCACCTTTTTTAAGACGTGGTTGGTTGGTTGGTTGGTTGGTTGGTTGGTTGGTTTGTTTTTAATCTTAACTACTATAAAGGAAATAGTGTCACTTTGCAACAACAAGCTTTAACTGTTCTGCCAAGCAAAAATAAAAGGTCAGCCTCACACCACTTAGAAATTACCTTACCAGTTGGGAATCCAGCTGGACAGCATTGTTGGCTTTTTTATTATTATTATTATTTTTTTTTTTATTAGTAATGATTGCGCCTCATTGGCTACAATACTGCCACTGCACAAAGCTGCGTTGGCATTTATTAGCCTCAGACTGAGCATTGGTGTGGCCATCACACAAAGGCTCTACCTGCATCAGCAGGCCAGGAACTGGGCCCAGGATGAGTCATTGCCTCTCCCCAACCCTCTTTTCCTATAGAGTCCACCCTGCACTTGGTGCTTCGTCTGAGGGGTGGCATCATCGAACCCTCCCTCCGCCAGCTCGCGCAAAAGTACAACTGCGACAAGATGATCTGCCGCAAGTAAGCATGATTGGGGGTGGGGCCTGGTGAGAGGGGTCAGGTGCCCTGACCAATCCTTCCTTTCTGTGCTCAGATGCTACGCCCGCCTGCACCCCCGTGCTGTCAACTGCCGCAAGAAGAAGTGTGGCCACACCAACAACCTGCGCCCCAAGAAGAAGGTTAAATAAGGCCCTCCCCAACTCCTTGGGTCCACAGGGCAGCCTTCTATCTGAACCCTGTGATGCTAGGGCCTCAATAAAGTTTCTCTTTTGTTGACTGGAGCAGTAACTCGTGTCCATGTGGCTGGTCTGTCCAGTGGGGAAGGTGGCCAGGTGTGGGTATCTCCTTTAGGGACTCCCTGTTCTGTGAGTCCCTGTGTATTCAGGTGTGGATGGGTTTCAGAAAGTTAGGAACACCCCACCTACTGGGAAACGCCTGTTCTCAGTTTTGAATCTTGGAAGCACTCGGGCCCCACTTGATGATTTTGGAGGGGTAAGCCTTTGTTGTTTTTCACACCTTTGTATGATGCTCTGCAAGTCAGGTGAGGGCTAGATGCCCTGAGAAGGCCATGCTTCCTTGGGACAACTGGGGCTTGGTGTATGTGACAACTCAGGCCTGGAAAATGTCAGAATAGTGAGACCTGCAGTGCTAGCTAATGCTGGAATCTCGGTCATTTTACATCTCAGTTCAGCTTCATCCCTCAAACTACAAACATCTCATGTGCCAGGTGACCACCATCTTAATGATCTTCTCATTTCCACCCCTGGAGAAGGAAGTCTCTCAGCTCAAACTGGTGAATCCAGCAGAAAGCTTGGAGGCCACCTAAGTGCTTAAGATGAGGCCCTGTGGCCTCACCTCTGCCCAATACTCCCTTCAGATTATTTTTGAGGTCTTACCACAGTCCAATAAAGTCATCCGGACCTACTTCTAACGTCAAGCTGCATTGAAATTCCACTCATCACAGCCTTGTGGGACTATACGATGGGAAATCAGTTTTGTGTGAGGTCGGTATGTGGATAAAAGGAAATGTGTGTTGACATAGCATAATAAAACGCTTACAAATCCAGACATAGCCTTGCTATGCTACACATTTAAGAGCAAATGAAAGAAGGCAGAACAAGGGTGGGGTGGGGATGAGGTGTCTGGATGTCTGGCTGAGAAGTCCCCAGTCTTCCAGTTTCCCAGCTCCAGTGGTTTCCCTTTTGGCCGGCCGCTGGCTGAGATCCAGAGGCCTCCGGGCCTACAGGGGGCGCTTATCGCAGCAGAGCAGCCACCCAGGCGTGGCCAGGGCTGAGCAGTCATGATAACCGCCACGGCTGAGCCTGAGTCAGCGGTCCCCTCGGTGCCCGAAACAGGGGCAGTCAGAGGAGACCCAGAGCTCGAGGAACCGACGTGGCCTTGGGTGAGCCCGGGGCCCGAGCGGGAACGGGTGCAGGGCGGGTGGTACAGGTTCGGGAGTGCCGGCTTCATGCCCAGCCATGCCCCCTGCTCCGTAGAAAGATGCCCCGATCCGGGCGCTGGTGCAGCGCATCCACCAGTTGCAGGCTGAGCGTGCGCAGGCCTTCCGCCGCCTGGAAGAGTAAGTGGCAGCGCCGGGGTCGCAGGGTTCGGTCCCCTTCCTGCTCCGGAGGTAGGCGTGCCCGGAGCCAGAGCTGGGTCCCCGTGCAGTTTGCTGGGGCCCAGGCGGGGTGGGGTTTGCGAGATGACTCAGGGTGTATCAACACTTCTCCAGGTCCCACCCAGTGGGGTGTCTCTCCCTTCCCCAAGCGCAGCGGAGAGTGTCTTGGGTTCCTCTGCAGGAATCATCGTCCTCCGCACGGGTCCAGAGACACTTGGGGGGGGGGGGCGCAGTGTAGGGCTTTCAGGTGGCCGATGCGGGCGCAGGGCCTGTGAGCCTGGAGGCGTGGCCTCACTACCCACCCTGCCGCAGAGGCCACCACCAGTACCTGCGCAGCGGCCCGCCACACGACTTCCCGAGCTACCGGCTCACAGTGCACGAGGTGACCCAGGCCTTCGCCGCTGCCTCCCGGGAGGTGCTGGCGGTGGAGGCCGAGCTGGCCGGCCCTAGAGCGCAGCCGCTGCTCGCGGGCCATGTGCGAAGCCTGCAGCAGCTGGAGCAGACACGCCTGGCTACGGTGAGGCCCTGCCCCTGCCCCTGCCCCCTACTCTAAACGTAATCTCGCCCTCGGTGGCCTGCTGGGTCCACTCTGGGCCACGTGGTCGAAAGGCCAGATGATTCCAGTCCCTGTTCCTGGGGTCCCAGACCCACCCCCACCTCCGTCTTCCACTAAGGCTTCATTTGAGGTCTCCCACCTCCTGGTCTCCACCTGTCCGCAGGGTTTCATTCCAGGTGTTTAGTCCCAGAACATGTCCGTCCATCCCAATCCCTCCTTCCAGAGTAAGGCGACCAGACATCCCGATTTTTAACAATTTGTCCCGCGTCCTGCAGCGTTTTAAAAAAGTCCTGATCTCTCTCTTTTCTTTTTTTTTTTTTTTTTAATATATTTTATTGATTTTGTACAGAGAGGAAGGGAGAGAGATAGAGAGTTAGAAACATCGATGAGAGAGAGTTATCGATCAGCTGCTTCTTGCACACCCCCTACAGGGGATATGCCCGCAACCAAGGTACATGTCTTTGACTGGAATCGAACCCGGGACCCTTCAGTCCCCAAGCCAACGCTCTATCCATTGAGCCAAACCAGTTTCGGCAGTCCTGATCTCTTAAAATGCCGCGGGACGCGAGACAAATTGTTAAAAATCGCAACGTCTGGTCACCTTATCCCAGAGTAACCCTGTCCTGGATGACCTGCACCCGCCCACACAACGCTCCTCCCCTCTGGCTATTCCTAATGCTTCAGGTCCCATCCTCAGCTCCCATATGGGGCAATGTGGTCTTTTCAGCCCCCTTTGTCTCCCCTGCCCCCCCCCAGTAACCTTAGACCCTAACCTAGGTTCTGGACCTCCTCCTTCCCCAGGGTTCCCGGGGCTGGGTACTCTGCCTCCACAGCCAATCCTGCTGGGATACACTGTTCCCAGGCCAAGTCCAGTCAAAGCCACACGCATATCACATTCTACACAGGGATTTCCGGGTCACCCACGCTTGCTTTGAACAACCCAGTCTAGATTTCTGACCTACTTCTACCCTGGGATTATAGCATCCAGACTCCCCCTCCCCCCAAGACCATGAGGCCCCACCTCCTGTGCCCCTGCAGCCAATACCTGGCTGACTGCGAGTCCCACCCCATGCCAAGTGCCAAGGTATGGCCTACCCAGGTCTCTAAACTGAATCACGGGCTCCTCCTGCGCAAAGCACCGCCCTGGCCCCACCCCTTTGCTGCTTTTCTGGTTGTCTTTTCCTGATGTGTGTGTGGGAGGGCATGGGTGGCCTCTGCCCACAGTGATATCCTCCCTGCTGCCTCCCCCCACCCCTGAACCAGGTGGCCCTGCTGCAAATGATGGGGGCACAAGAGCTCACAGGGCAGGACGACACCCTGCAGGTGCACCAGCTGAAGATGAAGTGAGTGCCTCTTCCCAGTGGGCGGGTCATGCTAGATTTGCACACGGTCCAGGTGCTCACTCCCAACCAAGTATGCCCTAGGGCTGGCACCATCAGATCCTACGAGTGTGCACACTGGTTCCCAGACACACAGCACATTCCCCTGGTGCACACCCCTCCCATTTCCATACCAGACTCACTATTCATTTCCGGGACAGCTGCACATCTCAGACACACCAACCCCACTCATGTGGCTGGACTTACAGCATGGACACGGTCACCCAGACCCCAAGCACAAACCTGCACATTCCTGCCCTCACCACCCCCCCCCCCCCCAAACACATCCCGTTGAAATGTGCCGCAGTCACATTATACACCCTCCTAATGGCACCCACCCACCCGAGATGGCCTCTTCTCTCTGCCCACTGTGACCTACAAGCCCACCCCTGCTCCCGGGCACCCCCATGGCCCTCCTGGCTCCTAATGCTACCTAGAAGCTTGGTGGTGGGCAGAGGACCCAGGGCTTGCCAGTGGAAGCCAACTTGCCCCGTCTGGGTTTTATTTATAGCTCCCGTCCACTTTTATAGGGTAATTAAAACCATGGAAGCCATCAGCGAGGTTCTCCAGGACCTCAGGTTCGATGCAGAATCTGCTGAGTGACGGTGACTCCCAGGGACCCGCTGAGGGAGAGAGACATGAGTCAGGCCACGCCCAGCTCTGTCTGCGAGGCTGGATAAGGTGGAACCTCAGCGGGCTGTGGACCTTCCCCCTCCATGAGGTCACCTCTGCTCCCCGATAAAGAAATCTTCGTCTGCAACCGCTCTGCTGTCTCTGCATCTTGGGAGTGCTGGGGTGTGTATGCCTGCTAAGGGGGCCCACAATGGCAGGATGGAGGGTGGAAGACTCCCTCCCCCAAGACGGACGAAACTGGTAGTTTTCAGTCACATTCTCCAAAGAGTTTAGAACCAGATAGTTCCAATCCTGGAGAGAAAGAATCTGAAATTCTGGGGGAATTTCAATTGCAAAGAGTCATTAGAAGTCCTTATGCCTCCTCCACAGTCCCCATCCCAGGCCTCTGTAGCCCCAAACTCACCTTCACAATCAGGGAACCTAAATAGCTCGTTTATTTAAAAAGATTCTTTGGAAGGAGATTCTGGTGAGGGAATTAATAACTCCTCTTCACCCTCAGCCCTGGTAGGGGTCCTGGGCAGCTTTGCCAACCTTCACACATACACCCCCCCCACTGGGTGCACCCAAGGGTGGCCTTGCATGGAGGCCAGAGATGTGATCCTTGAAGCTCAAAGTGCCCACTCCAGCTTCTGCCAGGTGTGCCTGGGCACCGTGAAGTGAGGGTATGAAGGTTGCCCAGTCTGGTTGCAGTCCTGGGTCTCCACGACGCAGGGAGAGCGGCCTCCAGCCCCTAGAGCTTATCTGGCAGGACCTGCAGGCAGAGGTGAAGCCAGACTAAGCTGGGGATGCTACCAGGTGTCAGCACTGCAGAGCCATTTAGGAGCCCACTTTACCCCACCCCCCACCCCCACCTGCCATTCAGGTCCGGGCCGGCCCTTCCACTTTCAGCTGGGTGATTGGATAGGGTACTGCCTCTCCCTGAGCCTTGGTTCCCATTTAAAAAGTAAGAATGTCTATCCCAGGGGTGTGTTCTGCAGATAAAGCCCTTGGCAAAGGCCCAGCATGCAGTAGGCAATCAAACATGCTAACTTGGACCACTATGTTCATTCCTGAGGATGAGGAGTTGGGTGCTTACTACGTAGGTTAAAAGACACAGGGCCAGGCACATGTGATGCTAAGTAAATGCTGATAAATAAAACAAGAATGAAAGGGGGAGTTATAGCCCACCCACCTGGGCCCCCTTACCTCTCGCCGAGCCGCGTCTGCCCGAGGGCAGGATCCCCTCGTCCTGTGCTTGTAAGGAAGGAGGTGGTGTCGGAGGGGCTGCGCACCCACCTCCCCGCCCCACCCCTCGTCCCTTGCCCACGGGTCCCTCCTTCCTACCTGGTTGCGGGTCTTGTGCGACTTCTGCATCCAGGCCCTCCACTGGTCGTAGAGGCGGAAGCTGAGGTTGGAGCAGTACGCGTGCTTCTTGAGCCAGCCCAGGAACTGCTTGAGCTCGCGCCGCACCGGCCCCGAGCTCGGCTCTCCGCCCCGCGGTTCGCACGCCCCGCCGCCCGGGCCCGGACGCTCTGCGGAGGGGGAAGCTGCGGCGTGAGGGCGCGGCCGGCAGAGGGCGCGCGCGGACAGCGGAGGGAGGGTCCCTGCGCGGTGGACCGCGCTCCCCTCGGGCACCTCCCCCCATTTCCCCGAGACCGCGTCCTCCCCACCGCCCAGCCCAGCTGCGCCCCCGAGGAGGTGGGGGGTAGGGGAAGGAAGGGGCTCCTCCTCCACATCTCCTCCAGGAACCCGATTCCTGTGGTCGGAGCCAGGTGTGAGTGGAAGGGGCTGGGGGAGAAGGTGAGAGGCCAAGGCCAGAGGGACCAGGCAGAGCAGGGGGCAGGGGGAGGGGGGAAGATACAGAGGCAGAGACTGAGAGGTGGGGACAAGGAGAGCAGGAGACGCAGGGAGGACCAAAGCCATGGGGGTCAGCCAAAGAGATTGAGGGGGGGGAGGTGTGAAGAAAGTGGGGGAACAGGGACACACACACAAAAGAAAGACAGACAGAGGGGGAGAGAGTGACAGACAATCCTAAGGAGACAGCCCCTGGGAGTATGAGCCAATGGGACCGGGAGCGGGTGGGAGGGCCAGGTGGGAGGACCGCCTGCCGGTCCAGCTGCTGGACTCCGCTGGCCCTGAACAGGCCGGCGGATAAGGACATCGGCCTCACGTCATAAATAACACAGGGGACCCGCTGACAGGCCCTGGCACAGCCCAGGCCCCTGCTGGCCTCCCCCAGCCTCCCCAGCCTCCTCTGCAGACGCAGCCGCCTGCTGGCTCCCGTGCAAGAATCGCAGGTGCTGGGCACGAGCAGGGGCCAAGGCTCAGCCCCTCCCAGTCATGCTAGCTCCCGCCCATCCCAGAACCTGGAAGGCCCCGCATTGGGGGCGGGGGAGCTGGCTGGAGCTAGGCTCTGCCCCTCCCTGGTTCTGAGACCCTCTCTGGGCCTTGGTTTCCCCTCATCCCAGGGGTGAGCGTGGACCTGGCTTTCCAGCAAAATGAGTTTAGACCCCTGTATGATCTTGGGGGCCGGCTAAACTTACTGAAGCCAAAGTGTCCTCATCTAAGAAAGGAGGCCTTGCCTGAACCAGTGTGGCTCAGTGGGTAGAGCGTCAGCCTGCGGACTGAAAGGTCCCGGGTTCGATTCCGGTCAAGGGCACATCCCCAGTTGGCGGGGTGCAAGAGGCAGCTGATGGATGTTTCTCTCTCATCGATGTTTCTAACTCTCTATCCCTCTCTCTTCCTCTCTGTAAAAAGTCAGTAAAATGTATTTTAAAGAAAAAGAAGAAAAGGAGATCTACCTTGGGGTGCAACCATGGGGGGCAGGGGCGAGCAAGGGAAGGGGGCCTTGGGTAGTGCTCAAAATGAGGGCACTTTTCATGGGTTATCATATCCCAATAGTCTGTACAACAGTCTGAGATAGGAGTCATTATCATCCCCGCTTTCCAGATGGGTAAGCTGAAGCCAGACATTTCAACGAACAGATTTCATATCTTTCCACAAAGGAGAGAAAGGAGGTCCAGGTCCATGGGCTCAGAGGAGCCCCAGATGGCAAGGGGAGCCAGACCTAGGACCCTGATCCCTCCCAGCCCCCTTCCTGAGTCCAAAGGGGAAGCTGAGGCCCATCCGAGAGAGAGAGTTGGCAGCCCATCCGCCTTGGAAGCAAGGGTCTCAAACTCATTTGCCCTTAGGGGCTGGGGAGGGGGATACAGGTTGCTGAAATGGGCCAGTTGGGGGTGAGGCAACTTGCAAGACAGGACCCGGCGCGAAGGGGCAAGCCTTTGCTCATAGGGGCTGTGGAGCAATGCTGGCTGTGTCCTGTTACATTTTCTAGGCAATTTTTCTAGGGAATATAGGATATTTTTTTTGTTAAAACATCCGGTTTTTAAATGTCTGCAAGTAGGTTAAAAAAAAATCTTTGGCTATTTGTGTGTGTGTGTGTGTGTGTTTGTGTGTGTGTGTTTTGTTTGTCTTTCAAACAACAGGTGAAAGAAAATAGATCCAGGGGCCAAATTCAGCCCTGGGGCTACCAGTTTGAGACCTCTGCGTTCCTGGAAAAACAAAACAAGGAAACGCAAGAAGCCCAAGCCCAGGCTGGTTGAGGGCCGGTCCCATAACCACCCAACCACGTTGGGGTGCTCACCGCTGCGGGGGGTGGAGGCCGCCGTGGGGTGGCTCCACTCACTCCAGATCCCGGCCTTCTTGGAGCCGTAGATGCCAAAGGGGTTGCAGCGCACTTGCACGAAGTAGACGGTGCCCGGCTTCAGGCCCGCCAGGCGGCACGAAGTCTGATTGCTCACGTCGTCCACCACCTGGGCCCAGGGCAGGGTCAGAGGCCAGGCCAGGGGGCGGGGCCGGGGGCGGGGCGGGGCCGGGGCGGGGCAGGCACCTTCCAATCCACGCTATCCTCCACGCGGTAGCGGATCTGGTACTTGGCTTGGAAGAGGAAGTCCTTGAGGGCGGGCGGGGACACCCAGCGCACGCTCAGCTGGTCCTCCAGGCCCCCAACTCGGCTCACGTGCACGTCGGGCGGAGGGTCAGTGGTCACTGCCAGGCGGGGTGGAACAGGGCTTGGTCATGGGCCCCTGGGACCCAGCTGGCCCCTGTCTGGGTCCAAATCCCAGAGCATGTGGCTTAGGTGGCACCTGCTTCCGTTCGCCTCCCCTTTCCCCTCTCCCCCCCTCGAGGATGGTGGATTACATTAGACAATATTCAGGAAACACTCAGCGCCTAGAAGCACTCAATTAATGTTAGCTGTTATCACCATTATTATCTGTGACAGGAGAAACATAACCCTATCTTCAGGGAGTTCTGCAAAAGCAGACACCGCCTGGCTGATGATATTATTATTATTATTCCCAGGAGGCCCGGGGACCATCACCACACACCTCCGGCACCTTCCCGCCGTACAGAGGTCCTCAGTAGGCGGGGTGCGGAGGGACCACTGAAGCTGAGAACATGCCCACCGCAGCGTCCAGACTTAAGGAAGCGAAGCGGGAAGGCTGGGGTGGGGGTGGCTCCGAGCCAGGATGGATCTGGGGTCCTGGGAGCCCTGTGGGAAGCAGGGAGAGCTGGCTCTCTCCCTGAGGCCTTGGTGAGGGGCCGAACGGGTTAAGGCACAGGCCTGCTCAGGGCTGAGCAACACCCTAATTAGATTAAGCCCAATTCTGCTGCAGATCATCCATTTCCTGCCTCCTGCCTGCCCCCCCTTACCCCACCCCGGCTCCAGACTGTGGCTTCCTGGGGTGCCTCAGACCTGGACAGCCCCTCCCAGGCGGGGAGTGAGGTCCCCCTGGAACACCTGGGCCGAGGAGGAGGGGGCCCGGCCAGGTGTTCTCAGCGGAGTGGAACTCTCCTGGCTGATTCAGGGGGGCTAGAGACTGACGGGTAATCCCTGTCCCAATCAGCAGGTTTGGACCAGAGATGCAGCCATGACTGGGATGGTGGAGGCAGGGGGGGCGGGGGGGGAGGGGAAATGGCAGGGAGGAGGGGGGGAATGGCGGGGAGTTTAGGGGGCAGGGAGGAGGGATCCCCCCCGGGAGGTGCCTCACCCACATCCAGGATGTCCAGTGTGAGCACATCTGAGCGAGCCGAGCCCAGCCTGTTGGTGGCTTCCACCCAGATCTCGTAGGGAGTGAAGAGGGCCAGGTCCTTGGGGATGTGGCAGGAGTGGGGTCCCACCGTGTGGTACTCCTCACATGTGTTGTCCTGCCCATACCACCTATGGGGGCAGGGGGGTGGAGAGGACACATGAGGGCCCCTGAGGGGCCTCAGGCCTCACTAGGGCAGTCCCAGAGAACAGACAGAACACTGAGCTCAGAGGGCAGCCAGGCTTGGCAAATGCCTCACCGCCAGGCTGAGATCCATGCCACCCAGGGCCGTCACCAACCTCAGCTTGTACTTCAGGGAGTAGTTGGTGTGGAGGAAGGTCTCCCCGTGGGCCCCCGGCGTCCAGCGGCAGGTCAGGTCCTTCATGTTCTTGGACCAGCAACTGATGTTGAAGGGTTTCTCTGGGGGCACTGAGGAGAGGGTGCAGGGGCTGAGGGTCTGGGCTGGCTGTGGATAGGCAGAGGAGCTGCTGGTCGCCAGCCAGCCCCACCTCAGAGTGGGAGGAGGGCGGACGAAGGATGTTGGTGTGACCCCTTGCGTGAGTTCTCTTGGGGACCACGGGGGAGGGGGTGTCTCCAGGCTTTCATTCCCACCCAGAAGCCCATACCTCGCAAGTGCACGTGCCCACCATCCAGCCCTGGGCCAGAGGACCCACGATCCATGCCCCTCTTGGGGGGGAGATGGTGCTCCCAAAGGCTACCCCTGAGCGTCCTGGGGGCCACTTACGGCCAACATAGAGGCAGGAGCCCGCTAGGATGCTGCCGTCTTGAGCGTGGCACACGAGGTTGTCCCCCGACTGCTGCCTGGATCCGTTGAGGTTGGCCAAGGCGAGGGCCAGGGTGGAGGCGTTGAGCATGCGGGAGAGCTCGGGGGGCAGGCGGCGCCCATTGAGGGTCCAGTAGAGGCCCTCTGCAGTAGGGCCCTGCGGGTCCCCGCGCACTGAGCACGTGGCCTGCAGGGAGGAGCCGATGAGGAGTGTGGGGTCCTGGGGACTGATCACAGCCGTGTCTGGGGTCAGAGAAGAGGGCCTATCAGGCTGGGATCGAGCTGCCCTGAGACCACCACGCGAGGACCTCCTGGATTCATGACAAGCCCGCCAAGGAGCTCTTTCCTAACACGCCCCTTTCACAGACAAGGAAACGGAGGTTCAGTGATAATTCATTCAAGCCACTTCATCACTGACCAACTCAAGGTTCCGAGCGGTTACAAACCTCAGACAGAAATGCCCGCTCACATTCAAGTCATTCTTGCTCTGCATATAGTTCTGGAAAACCCTACACTTTGCTTTTAAAAACAATTATTTTAATAGCCTGAGGGTTTCCAAGACAGTAGGAGGAATTCCCTATAAAAATCTTGCTCTTTTATAGATTAAAAAAATAACAACAAGGCTCTGAGAGATTAAGCCCCCTGCCTAAAGTCACTGACGGAGAGAAGGGCATACTATTCAAACTCACATTTGCCTGTCTCCAAAGTCCTACTCTGTGTTGGAATGGAAGGTGGCTGGGCAAGTTCTAGACCCCCAACCACCATTCAAAGGGACTTGACTCAGCCCCCTAACTCAATCTGTCCTTTGACTCAATTTTCCTAATCTGAAAAATGGGAACAAGAAAGTTCCTGGTCCCAGGTCCATTATGATGATTAGATTCTGGGACATGACTTCCTAAACTGGTTTCTGTGAGCTGGGTGCTGAGCGCTGGGCCTCAGGGAGGAAGTGATTGATGCCTCTCCGCCTGCTGGCCATTGGGGGTAGCCCAGGGCTCTTTTTTCTGGAAATGAGAACCTAAGAGGAGATTGTTTTACCCATAGGGAAACCAAGAGCCAGCAAAGGGGGTGGGTACTTACAGTCCAAGACCCTGAAACCCCGCCCGGAGTCTCAGTCTCCATATCTGGGAAGTAGGCATCAAAGTATCAAACACATGCAGTTGTTTGAAAGGAATGAAAACACTGTCGTCAGCACAGCCCGGTGGGACTGGGTTCGAATGCCCTCAGCTCGCTATGGAAATTCAGTCCGGGCACTTTACATCTCTGAGTCTCTGGGAAGGACCTCTCTTTCCACCGAGAGCAGTTAGTTGTGGGGACTCATTCACTCACTGGCTCAATCCTTCCTTTATTGATCACCTACAGTGTGCCAGGAGTGGGGGCACCATGGTGACCAAGACTCCGGCCGGCCCTGGTGGTCCTTGAATCCAAGAGAGCAGCAGGGAAAATAGAAAACACAAATAAATATTTAAGAGAAGAAACAGGGAGAAAGTAAAGCACCAGTCATTAGTGCAGCTCAATGGCCCGGGAGGCCTGTCTAGGGAGATGGCATTTGAGCTGAGACGGGAATAAAGTGAAAGAAGTAGCCATGAAAATAGGGAGGAGAGTATCCAGGCAGGGGAGCAGCAAGTACAGAAGTCCTGGGGCAAAAGTACTAGGAAATGAGGTCTGGGAGGTCAGCAGGGGACTGACTGGCAGGGAATATTCCTGGGTTCTGAAGGGGGTGGGTAGTGATTAACATTTTTAAAAGATCCCCAAGCAACTGTAAGAAGAGACTGGGGGGAGGGGGGGGGGGGCAGAGGGACAGAGAGGAGAGCAGCCCAGCTTCCTTGAGATGGCAGCCAAGGACAGGATGATCCTGGCCCCCTGGGGTGTCCACCCCCCCAAAAGCCAGGGGCTGCCTGTGTTGGTCTTCACTGCCCCAGACGGGAGAGGTGGTGTGGACATGGTTCCAGGGGCCAGCTCTGACAATTTTCTGGGGCAAACTTGGCTTGAAGGCCATGTCTTGCTAGAGCCTAGAATCACAGTTGCTTTTGAGGCTTGGCCCAGGGCTCTCCGGAGGTCTCAGCATCCGTGCGAAGGAGCCGGCTGAGCGGGCCAGAGCCCAGGAGGCGGGGTTGGGGGGGGGGGGGAGGACAGGGGGCCGCCCGCCCCGGAGGTCCCAGGCAGCCAGCCGCTAGCTAATTCGGAATTCCTCCGGCATGAACTCGGGCGTGCCAGCATCTCTGCCCCGGCCCACCCACCACTTCCTGCCTGCCCCCACCCCCAGCAGGGTGGGAGGCAGGGACAGGCCAGGCCTGCCCAGACCCAGACCCACTCCCAGTCCGAGGGAATGGGTTAGATCCCTCCTGCACCCCCCCCCATATTCACAGCCTGGTCAGGAAAGGGCTTTCTGGGGGGTCCTGGCCAGGGGGCATTGCCCCTCTGCCACACCCGCCTGGCCTGAACTAGTGTTGCCCGTATGCCAGCAGCTGCAGCTGCCCTCCAAGGGCTGGGCGGGGGACGGGGCGAGAGGGCAAGGCCAGGCGGGCCTGGACAGGCCACCCCCTTCCCCCCGCAGCTCCAGTAGGAAAGGTCAGAGGGAGGCCTTCTCCTCCGGGGACGTGAGTGCCAATTCCAGCTGGAGCACCTGGGCAATTGTTTTTCCCTCTCCGGTTCTCAGTTTCCCCTTCCATAAAATGGGAGGAAAATACATTCTACCTGCTGGGGAGATGAATGAAATGAGATCAAGAGGTCCAAAGGGCCTAGGAACTATTAGGATGAAAGCTCCTCCCAACTCTGGGGCCCAGGCTCCCCAAATAATGGGCCAAGGCACTCAGGACTGGGGTGCACACATTCCTCGAGGAATAGCCCATGAGGTTGGGGGGCTCTTGGCCTGGTTTGGGGGCCTCCTAGAAGGCTCCCCGAAGCAGATCCCTGGGCTAGCCTTTTGGACAGCCTTCCCACGCTACATCCCTGTCTCCACGCCGTTCCCACAGAGCAGAGGCCTTTAAAAGTTTTTTCCTTTCCCACTTCCCGATCTGGAGCCACTGCTGTTATTAAAAAGGAACACCATGTGTTTTAAAAGGGAAAAGTGTGAGATTCTCTGCAAGCAATACAGGAGGGTGGCCTCCATCCTGGGGTCCCTACAGGGGTCCCCATCTCCCATCCCCCTGGTACCTGCTGACACTTTACAACCCACCCGCCTGCTGGTCTGGTCAGGTGCTAAGACACACCGTAAGTAGAAACATATTGCCAAGGTGTGAGAATCTTTTATTTAATTTCTTCCCCTTAAAGAAAAAAACTCAAGAACACCCCCCACCACCACCACCACTTTCCCCGCTGCTCTGCAGGCTGGGAAACAAAGTCTGCCATGAACACCGGCACTCCAGGCATCAGGGACCTGGGGAGGGCCTAGAGCAGCCGCTCACCTGCCCAAGCAATCTGGGCTGCCGGGTTTTCAACAAATTCCCCTAGAGGGTGCCCAGACCCTGCCCTCTCTGGAGGAGCCCTGCAGTGAGACTGCAGACAGCTCTTTGCAGTGTGGGGAGACCTAGCAGCCCTGTGTGTCCACCTGGGGCAATCTGTGTGCGTGGACGGGTGTGTGGAGTGACGTATGCGTGTCCGGGGCAGCAGTGTCTGTGTATGTATGTGTTCCTGTGTTCTATTCCTTAAGGGATAAGTGTGTGACCATGAAAGCGTGTGTGCCAGGGATGGAATGTGTGTGCGCCCCGATGGTGTGCGAATGTGCATCTGGGATGCAGTGTGTGCGTCTGAGGGCGAGGGTGATGGGCCACAAGCCAGTGTGTCTTTGTGTGTGTCTGGGTGTGTCCTAGAATGGGTCTGGATATAGAGCCTGTGTCCTGGAGGGGGTATGCGTGTTGTGGAGGACAGAGAGTGCTTGCCGCAGGCCAAGAGCTCCCGTCCGGGGCGGGGGTCTTGGCCTGCCAGGCTGTGGGTTTGCGGGGAGGGAGAGGGGAGCCCACCCAAGGCCGGACCCGCGGTGCCCAGACTCCCTGGCTCCCGATTCCTCTCCCTCTCGCTCCACCGGCTCACAAAGATTTCTCTCGCTGGAGGCTACCAGCCGGGCGCAGCCGGGCCGGGAACGGTTCAGAGCGGACCCGGTGGCTGGAACTCCGTGGACCCCCGCGAGCAATGTCCCGCTGGGGGAGGGCGGCGGCGCCGGCCCGCGGAGAGGCGCGTCCCCGGGGACCCCGGGCCGCGCGCCAGGCGGCCAGAGCCGCCCCCTCCCGCCCCGCCTTTCTCGCGGGGCTCATCCCTCCACCGGGGGCGGGAGGGGGTGCTTGGGGCCGGCACCCAGCGCGTTTTCCGCGTGCGCCCCCGCCCAGGACCCGTGCCCCGCGCGGTCTCCGCGGCTCGGAGTCTGCGGACGCTGCTGCGTGCGCCCGCCGCGTCCCAGCATGCAGAGGGTCCCAGGACGCGGGCCCCCCAAACTCCGGGGGGCCGCGCGGGCGTCTGGGGCCGGGCCGGACGTCCTCGGCCCGGCGGCCCAGGTAAGGCCTCGGGCGCGAAAGCTGGACCCTCGGGCCGGCGGTCTGCTGCGCCGTGCGCCCCGCAGGTGAGGGCGCCCCGAGGGCCGTGCCGGGGGCGCCTTCCTTTGTTCCCGGGCCGTCCAGGTGGCGCCTGCGCTCCCTCCCCTCCCGCCCCCCCGCGGCTTCCCCCGGGGGCGCACGCTCCCCGCCCAGGCGGGAAGGGGGGAGCGGGGCGCTGGGTACTCACGGGCTCCGGATCCGCCTCGCGGAGCCCCGAGGACGCAGAGGAGCAGCAGGGGCAGCAGCGGCGGCGGCCGCCGCGCGGATTGGGCGGCGGGGCCCGGGCGGCCGGCGGGCATGGGGCCGGCGCTGCCGGGGGCGCGCGGCGGGCGACGGCGGCGCGGGGCACGGGAGGGCGAGGACCGGGCAGCCCGCACGTCTCCGGGCGCGGGCGCGGAGGCCAGAGCAAGTCTGAGCAGCCGAATTGACAAGGCGCTAATGCGCCGCTGGCCCCGCCCGGCCCCGCCCCCGGCCCGGGGTGGGGGGGAGTGGCGGCCCCGCACCGGCTCCTCTGCCGCCCGCCTGCCCGCGGGCACCGCGCGCCCCACCCGTCCGGCCTCCGCCCTGCCGCTCACCGCGCGCTCTCCGTCCTGCGGCCCAGAGCCCCCTCCCACCCAACCCCTACCGGCCTGGAACCTTCCATTCGGACCCAGACAGTTCTAGGTTCCCCACCCCACCCCCAGGGTGGGACCTGGCGCCCCTACTGCGTTCTCATATCTCCGCACACTTCTCTGCACCCTGCTCTCAGCCTCGTGCCCCTTCAGGGTCCCCTGTGGCCCTCCGCCCTGGCCGCTCCTGTCCCCGCAATCGTCTGTGTTTCAGCCTGCACCACAGCTCCGGTCCCGTCGCCCCACTGAGTGGTCCCTGAGCCCCGCCTGCTTCCCCCTCCAGGCCTCCTTCCTCCCCAGGGGCCTGAAAGACGCTCCCTGCTCGCCCCACGCCGCTGGCGGCGCGCAGGTCCTATCCGTCCGGGCCCAGCGGACCCCCTCTCCCTGCATCCTGCCTTCTCCGTCCTCACGGCAGCCTCCGGCCCAGGCTCTGCTGGAGGGAAAACGCAGAAAAAGCTGAAAGCGCGGAGTCCCTGGCGCTCACTCTGGCTCTGTGGCCACCCCCACCCCCCTCGAGCAGGATGGGGCTGAGGTTCCTCAGGGGGCCTGGGGGCCTCAGGAGGGAGCTCCGCGTGGGCAGACAGGGGGAAGGGGCCCCTGTGGGAGCAGGGACGCGGCCCTGTGCGGGTCCTGCCCGCTGGCAGAAACGATGCCCGGGAGGAGAGCGGCGAGGAGGCCCCCCAGACTCACTGACACACCCCCCACGGAAAAATCCGCTCAGCGGCCCCGCGGGTGGGGTGCGCCACGCAGTGAGTAATCGCTCCGGCGGCCGCCGCCCGCTGACTCCAGGTAACGCCGGCTGCCGGGAGCGATGCTAGGCTGCCTTCCTATTTTTTGCGCATGAATCCTCTGTGTTATTATTTTTGGCTATTGCTTGGATTTCGGGATCCCCCCCCCCCCCCTTTCAGCCCGGACGCCTCATCCCCTTCCTCTCCGCCCCTGGCCGATCGGTGCGCCCAGGATGAAAGGGTTCCTGAACCCAAGGCCAGAAAGGAGAGTTCCTGCCCGGCGGGCAGCGATTTGGGTGGAAGCCCCGCCCCCAGACGCTTGCCTGAAAGGAGGTCTCTAGCCCTCCTTTCCCTGGGTTCCCTGAGCCCGGACCTTCCGCATGTCCCTAACCGGGGAAGGGGGTAAACGTGTCTGAAGAGGCTCAGGAACCTCCACCTTGTTTGCTCCAGGCTGTCCTCCACCCCTGCTACTCGGGTCTTCAACTGAGAACTCAGACTGTCAGATAATAGAATTGGGGGTTGGAGTCCCGGGGGCTCTACACAACTGCCCCCCTGCCCCAATCTGGTTTGAGCTTTTACTGGAACCACCCAGGCCTCTGCCTCAGTTTCCTCCTTGGCACAGTGGGTGACTGCTTGGCAGTCTAAGGGTTTCTGAGGAAAGATGCAGTGCAGCAGAGGGCCCCACAATCTAAGAGCTTAGCATGGCACTGAACACTAAGGACATGTGATTTTAGAGCAGAGGTGGTCCCCAGGCCTCAGTTTGTCACCTCTGAAAAATGGGGCCGTAATCGCACCTGCCACTGGGTGGTCCAGAGGGTGAAGGGGAGGTGGCAGCTCTTGTACAGAATTGTGTTCAGGGTATGTGCCACCCATCCCCACTCCCCTTCAAAGTTTGACTCAGGCTTCAGGCTTCTGGAGGAAAATCTTGATATTTCCCCTCAATCTCTATTCCTCCCCAAGTCATCCCTGGGTCTTAGGAAAAAGCTCCCCCATCCACCCAGGTGCTCAGGCCAGAGACCTGGAGGCGTGCGTGACAACTCTCTCCTTAGTGCATCCCCCACGTCCCATCCATCAACAAATACTGTTGGCTCTGATTCCAAAATACATCCCCATCCTGAGATTCTGACCCCCTTCTTCCTACCACATTTGGGTCTACGCCCCACCATCTCCCTCTGGGGTGTCCCTGGTTTCCTCTGGGGTGACCTTGACCCCATACCTTCCCCATAATCTTCTGTTCCCCGTCTGCATTGCAGGCAGAGGGAGGGAACTTTTAAAAGAAATGAAGCAGGTCTCCTCTGCCCTGCTACATTCCTTCCCTCCCTCCCTTCCTCTTCTCCACCTTCTTTTCCCCCTTCCTCTCCCTCACCACGTTCCAGCCACTGCAGCCCCATTCCCCCAAACGCACCAGGCAGAGTATTTGTACCTTTGCTGTTCCCTCTGCAGGAGTGCAGTTCCCCCAAATCTTGCCCCAGTTAGTGCTTTCTCTTCCACCAGGTCACAGGTCAAGTGTTGTCGTCTTCTTAGAAAGACCTCCCACCCTTCCCAAGCACTCTCTGTCCCTTTCCCCCCTTTAAATGGTCTTTGTAACAAGCTCTTCAAACATCAGCTTTCTCTGGTGACTTATTTCCTGTAGACTGTGAGCACCTTGAGAGACATTAGGACCCTCATATTGGGTCCAGGCCAGGAGAAGAGCTCAGTGAATATTTGCAAAATAAAAAGATAGAGAATGCTCAGTCCCTTCAAGCAGCAAGAAAACTCAGTCCAAGTGTATCATGTTGCCTAGAGTCTAGCCAGGCCTATGCCCCTCAAGTGCTGTGTGACGCAAGCCAGTAGCCACCCCTCTCTGGTCCTTACCTATAAAAGGGTATGGATCCTTTGGGTTTCTCAATCCTGTCCAACCCTGTCCTGAAGTGTGCCCTCTCCCCACTGGGTGACCTTGACCCTATACCTTTTACTTTAAGGAAAGAATTGACCTTTGGATGCACCCTTCCTTAACCTTGGTGTCCCTGGGACTTAACCCCTTCTCCCCCAGTTACACCACCTCTTCTTCCCCAGTTGCACCATCTCAAAGGAACCAGCATTGACAGAACTTCTAGCAAATATTGACCCAAGTCCTTGAAGGTGGCTGGGAATGTACTGAGGGGGGCAGATGGAGGGAGGGCCCCACATGGGCTAGGGGAGGGTTCCTCCTTAGATTTTCAGTCCCTGCACCTAAGGATTAGGTTGGGGGAGACCCTCCAGCCCCAGCTCCCTGCATCATTCCAGGCTTCTGAGGCGCCCCTGGGCGGAGGCCGTGGTTACAGCACCTTTTGGGTCCCATAGAGACCCAGAGCCAGTAGGAATGAGGAGGGCACAAAGCTGTCTCTCCCTTGAGACACCATCCCCACCCCCATCCCCTGTTTAGGGCTCTGCATGAGATTAGCTGCCTTTTGGTTCAGGCCAGTGTTCCCAGGAAGTGGTGACAGTGAGGTTCTGGACCTGGACTGGGGTGGGGTGGGGGTGGGGAGCAGCAGAATAAGGTTCAGAACCTCTATGCGTAAGACGTGGTGCTTTGTCATATCCACCCAGGAGGCTGAGTCTGGGGAATTGGGATGCCTGGGTGACAGGCATTGGAGGTGGGAGGCACGGGGCCAGGTCAGGGCCAGTGCGCTGAGCCTGAGCTCCAACCGCTCCTGCACTCTGGGGCGCTTGGGCTGCTGGGGTCCAGGAGGCACTGACGGTTGGGGGGAGACATTGTGCCCTTTTCCCCTGCCTCCCCACTGTCAGCAATCGCTGGCGCCACGAGGCCGCGCTTTCTCCCCAGCCTGTCCCTAACTTGGGGGTGGGGGTCAGCGGGGTCGTGGTGAGGGCGGCAAGGGACAAAGGGCGCTTGTGCGATGCCCGCTCTGACCGCAGCCGCCGCTTCCCGGACGCCGGGCTCTGCTGATTCACACCCAGCCCGGCCGCAGCGCCCCCCCCCTCCTGCAGCCCCCACCGGGCCGCCCCAGGGGGTAGGAAGTGGGGGGGGCGAGGGGCGGCGCCGAGTCAACTTTCCCTCTTAAGCCCCGAAGGAATGTCGGCGGATTTCCTGAAATCCGACCCTGGCCGCCCGCCGGCCCTCCCGCCCCTCACCTGGACCCGCTCCCTCGGGAACCACGGGAGGGGCGAGTGGGCTCACCTGGGGGGCCGAGGTCAAGTCCTCCTTCCGCTCCAGCCCCCTCAGCCTCGTGGAGCAGAAAGGGGGGCGACGGCGGCAATCAAACCTTCTCGCTCCTCTCGGGAGACCTGGGCCAGCGGTCCAGCCCCTCCTGCCTCAGTTTCCCCCTCCGCAGGACTCGCGTGTACTTCTTTTTTTCCGCTCGAGACGACGCCTTGTATCCCCGACGCACGTCCACCCCCGATCCTGCCGTCTTTTGCTGCTCTTGTTTCCTGGACCGACACCCCAGGTCACCCCGAGCCTCAGTTTCCCCTCCTGCACCTTGGGGAATGCTGCCAGCACCTCCTTACAGATTTACGACAGGAGAATGCCTGAGGAAGGTTTTGTTTGCGGTGCTTGCAGGACGGTGATTGTGGAAGGCGTGAGCGCTCGGGGCTCTGGAGCTGACATGTGTGGGCTTGAGTCCCGGCTCTGCCGCGGGGGCCTGGGCCCGGGGTTCCCACGGGCGAAGCGGCCCGCGGCCCGGGCGCCGTGCCGGCGCGCGGTAGGTTGGACGCGGGCTCCCCCCGCTCGCAAACCGCAGCCTAAGGCCCCGCCGCAGGGTCGCCGCGGCCTAGCCGGGAGGGAGGGGGAGGGGCGCGCCAGGATCCAGATGTTCGGGGTTCACCCGACACAGCCGCGCCTGATTAAGCCACGTGGGGGCCGGCCGGGGCCGCGGACATGAAAGCGGGGCGGCCGGCCGGGGAGAAAGCGTGCGCCATTCCAAATTTCCCTCCTGCCCCCCCCCCCACCTCTGCTCCTTCCTCCTGGGCCGGAACCTGAGGCGCCCTTTGACCCGAAGACCCCGCGGGGCTGCCGCCCGGTCTGCGGGGGCGGAGCTGGAAGGGGCGCGGGAGGCCTCCGGCCTGGGCAGGCACCTGTGAGGGGCACGCTGGGGAGAAGGGGTCGTTTTTGCAGGAGACCCAGATTTGGAGGGGCACCCCCATTCCTATGCCTGGCAGAGAGGGAGCTGGGGTTGCCTGACGCTAGATTCACGGGGCTGCCATTCCTCACCTTGGGAGGGGTATGGCTTTTATGGAAACCAGAAGTGTCCGTCTGCCCTAAGTTTTCCCAAGACAATTAGAAAATGTAACAGCGCCCCCCACTTCTCCATCAGCACCTCTATGTCCCCCCCCCCCCAACACACACACTCAGTGCGGGCCCAGAGGGGACACTCCCCCTCAGTCTGGGGTAGCAGGGGCCGATCCCTCAGATGTGTGGGTCAGGGCTGGGCCAGAGGAAGGTGAGGCTGGGGGAGCCCTGGACGGGCTGGGAGGGCTTCCAAAGGAGGCAAACTGCTCACAGGTTCCCGCCCCCTGACTTGGGTGTCAAAGGAGATAAAGCCGGGGACCTTCCCAAACTTGCAACGCTCAGACGCTTCATTCCCATTCTCTAGGCTTCAGCCTCAAATCCGTCTCTCGGGACAAGCCCCTCCCATTCCAGGTTCCTCGCGGTCCTTCTGACTCGGTGGCCTGTTTTGGCCAGCTCTGACGTAGCCTCTTCCGGGAGGCCCTCCCTGATACTCTGGCAAATAGATTCATCCTCTATGTCATCCTCTATCTCATCTCTCCATTTGTTCCCCTTTGGTCCCTAGCTCCGGCGGAGACCCGCTCTCCAGTGGGTACCAGGGGCCGCGATCCACCTGCCCGCATCCCTAAGGTGCAGCCGCGCCGCGGCCCCGCCCGTTCTCCGCATCTTCCCCCCCCCCCCCCACTTCCCAGGCTGCCTCACTCGGGTGACGTCAGCGCCTGGGACCCCGCAGCCGCCGCAACCTCCGCGCCTGCGGGAGCCGACGTCCTGCACCCCTAGCACCGGCGCAGCCATGGCTCCGGTGGTGGTGGCGCAGCTGCTGCTTCTGCTGCTGCTGCTGCTGCCTCGGGCCGCCGCGCCCGCCGCGCCCGCGCCGCTCGCCCGCGACCCCTTCTCCTCGCAGCTCGGGGACACGCAGAGCTGCCGGCTGCGGTGCCAGGATCGCCACCCCAGGCTGCAGCCCCCGCAGGTGACGCGCATGCGGCGTCAGCCTGAGGCCCCGCGACCTCCCGAAGCAGGAGCGGTTGGGGATGCGGGTCTCTCGGTTGGGGGCACGAGATGGGCTTCTAGGCGGGTTAGGCGGTCAGAAAGGGGGGTTGTCTCTCTGGTGGGGGAGGGCTGGGTCTTCTGGATGGGAGCCAGCGCAGGCACCCGGGTCCCCCGAAGGGATGGGGATGTTCCTGCTTTGGGGGATGGCCTGGGGAGGAGGGGAGGCCGTCCCTGCGATGGGAGAGGGTATTGAGGTCCGATCCCTCAGATGAATGCGGGGTTGCGGATGGGGGAGGGGTAGAGCGAGCGAGGACTGAGGATCCTAATGCCACCTGGCGGCTCTGGTTACACTCTGCTGCGCAAGGACCCTGGGGTGCCCAATCTGCACCCCCCCCTCAGGCCAGACAGGGCTCCTCCTGCTCGCCCACCCAAGCAGCTTTCATATATTCCTCCCTAAACCCACTCAGAGCAACCAGCCCCCACTTGTACCTCCTCCCCTCTACCCTCCAAAGCTGGATCCCAATTTCCCTAGGTCTGAAGGGTGACAGAGCTTTTTCTGAGCTTCCCCTCCCCTTTCTCAGGACTGAGAATCCTCCTCAACCTCCCCTCTCCTCCCTGGAGCCTTTCAGAGCCCCCGTTTCCCTCCATCTTCCCTAGTTTTCTAACCTTTCCTGAAACCAGTGTCCTCCACTGTCCACCTTCCTCCTGAAGCCCAGTTTCCTTTTTGTGTTCCACAGAGCTCAGAGCCCCTCACTAATATTTTTAACCTCATCCTAATGTCCCTAGATTTGAGGAAGGAAAACCAAGTCTTTAAAAAAAAAAAAATATATATATATATATATATATATATATATATATATATATATATATATTTTATTGATTTTTTTCCCCAGAGACAAAGTGAGAATGATAGCGTGTCAGAAACATCGGTGAGAGAGAAACATCGACCAGCTGCCTTCTGCGCACTTCCTGCTGGGGATGTGCCCACAACCAAGGTACATACATGCCCTTGACCTGAATCGAACCTGGGACCCTTCAGTCTGCAGGCCGACGCTCTATCCACTGAGCCGAACCAGTCAGGGGGGGAAACCAAATCTTACACCTTCTCCTCCTGTGCCCCACTCTGGCCTGAGCCCTGTCCCCTTCTCAGGAGAAGCTGGAGCATGAGGACCCCTCCAAGTCCCAGAGTGAATATGGCAGGGCCGTCTCCATCAGTGCTTGTGAGAGAGGCTGCCGCCTCTTCTCCATCTGCCGGTTTGTGTCCAGGAGCTCCAAACCCAACGCCACCCGAGCTGAGTGTGAAGCAGGTGAGGGCTGGCTGGGTGGGCCAGGGTGGGGAGAAGATGGCCTGGGAAGATTGCTCCCGGTCACCCCCTCCTTCTCCTGCAGCCTGTGTGGAGGCCTACGTGAAGGAGATGGAGCAGCAGGCCTGTATCGAGGGCTGCTGGAGCCAAAACCCTGAGCTGGAGTCTGAGCCAGAGACCGTGCAGAAGGTGGGCACCCTCCCACCTGCCACCCTGTACTTATACCCCCTTCTTTCTACCCAAATCCACACTCATGTCCAGAGTCTCCCAGGCTCTCTGATCCATTCTGGGCCTACTGGGTATCCTCGATCAAGCATATCATGTCTCAAGTCTCAGTTATCATCTGAGTCTCCCCCCCCCCCCACCTCAATGCAAGAAGGAAATAATAGAAAATAGCCACCATTTATCAAGCATGTATCTTGGTCCAGATCTGACCTCAGCCTGTCCCAAATTCCTCGTGCTGACTGGAGGTACCAGGACCAGGGACAATGTTATGCCCAAGGAGTCCAAGGTCACCCCGGGCTGTGCAGAGGTGGCATCTAAAGCCAGTGCCACCAGGGCTAATAATTATTCCCTCAACTAGGTCATCTTCCGTGCCACCAGAGCGCACTTTAGCGAGCACCCACTGCATGCCAGGTGCTGATCTAAGCACTTTTCTGGTGGTGAACAGGTGCCCACTGTCATTGGGGGGGGGGGGTGGCTCAGAACTGAGGTTCAGGGAGAAGCAACCTTCCAAGCACACCCACCCACACACTACCCTTCCTTCCTCACCACCCTGGGGAGAAATAATAACTGCTCGCTTATTAATAACTGCTCCTTCATAGTCATGAATGAATCTAGGCCCTGCAGCATCAGAGGAAACTGAGGCACAGGGACCAATTCATTATAGCCAGAGACCCATTGGCTGGGATCCCACAGAAAGCCCTTCTTCCCCCATTTTCCTCCACCCACTCCAACCTTTCACGGTTCATAAAAGACAGAGCACTACCAATTCCTTCCTATTCCGAGTTCTCTCTTGATGCCACCAAAAGAATAATGATGGTTGGCAACATTTTTAGTAATAGCAGCTATTGCAGAGTAGGCGCTTGTGCTGCGCCCTTGTCTAGTTAAAATCTTGTAGGACCACCTGAGGGAAGAGAATCATCCCCATTCTAGGGCTCAGAGAGAGCAATCTATTTTCCCGAGGGCACCCGGCCAATGGGAGGCAGCTGAGATCTGTGTTTCCCCTGCGAAGCCCTGTTGCCCCAAACCATTTAGTGAATTCCAATCCCAGTGGACTCACCCGTCTCCCTTCCCATTGGTCAGTGCCCTACCTTTGTCACATTCTGTGCCCTCCTCTTCTCCTCGGCAGAAAAAGGCCCTGGAAGCTCCGAGCAGGGTTCTTTCGCTCCTGGGCTTGTTTTCCACCCTCTGCAGTGACCTTATCAGCTCAGCCCAGGGCTTCGTCTCCTCCACCTGGACGTACTACCTGCAGACTGACAATGGGAAGGTGGTGGTGTTCCAGGTGAGGGGCCTGGCAGGGGCCGCGCCAGATCAGGGTAAGAAGGTGGGATACAATCATTCTTGGCTCATGAGATACAAAGTCGACAGCTGATGCTTCAGGCACAGCTGGATCCAGGAGTTCGGTGTCTCACTTTCCCACTTGCCTCTTCTTATGGTGGCTTTCTTCCCAGGCAGGCAGGTTACTCCTGATAGCAGGATGGATACTTAAGGCTCTAAATGACAACTTCTCTCTGGAGTTTTAACTAAGCCGGGCTTTACACAGATCGACCCTGGCTGGGTCATGTGACCACCTCTCAGCCAAACCCTGTGATTCCATTGGCTTGGCCTGATCATGTTCTTCAGGAGCTGGAGGCGGGGTTCAAGACAAATTGAGGGGCTCACCATAACAGTGTACAACATTCCTGACATGATAGCCCCACAGAAGACTGTCCTTCCTACACCCAGTGGGACTAGGTGCCCAGCTGGGCATGGGACAATGTAGGGCACATGTGGGGCACAGGGGGGTGCTTCCCAAAACTGAGGGGGTGATTTTGGAAAGACCTTCTCTGTGCTGTCTTATTCTTGGTCCAGACCCAGCCCATGGTAGAGAACCTAGTGCATGAGGGGTCCCGTCTGCAGCGATTGGAGGTGACCTGGAGAGGATCCCGTCCCGAGGCCTTGGAGGTACACGTAGGTAAGGTCTGAGCCTCGACCAGTGTTCCTTCCATGGGCAGCGCCACTGCCATACGGAGTCCTCCTGGCAAATCAACCCTCTAGGACTGGGATTTCTGTCTCAACTCGTGGGTTTCCATGGTCTGCTTATCAGGGTTCCATAATGCATCTCCCAGGGTTTCCTGGTCTGTTTCCTCCCAGAGTTTCATGGCCCATCTCCCAGGGTTCTGATCTGTTCCAGGACTCCATGACCACCAGGTCCCGACCTCCTTTCTCCTCTCAGGGGCTGCTGTGGCCTCTAAGGGAAGGCCTGGCAGCCACTCGGGAACAACATGTCTCTCAGATCCTTTAGGCCCCTTGGACAGGATAAGGAAGACCAAGATCCGAGTCAGGACCAGCAGCAAGGCCAAGATGGAGTCTGATGAGCTGCAGGGCAAAGACTTCCTCAGCTGCATGTCCCGGTGGGTGGCAGGACCCTGGGGGTGGGATTGGGGCAGGAGGGGAGGGTTCCCAGACCCCTCTAGGGTCACTGAGTATACCTGCCGCGCTGCGCAGGCGCTCGGGGCTTCCTCGCTGGCTCCTGGCCTGTTGCCTCTTCCTCTCCGTGCTGGTGATGCTGTGGCTCAGTTGCTCCCCCCTGGTGTCTGCTCCTGCCAAGCACTTCAAGTTCCAGGTGGGTGGGGCCAGTGGGTGGGCCTGGAGGAGGGGTAGGGGAGAGTGGCTCCATCCAGTTCAGGATGGGGCTACCCCCTCTGCATGGAGGCAGGACCCTTGCCTTGCTGTGTGATGTCACTCCCTTGTTAAATGGAGGGAAGACCGCCCCCTGTCCTTAGTCAGAGGGACCTGAGATCGGGGTGGAGAGGGGTGAGGGGGAAGGAGCCTTGCAGAGTGGGGCTCATTAGCCTTCCCTCCCTTCTCTTCCCTTACAGCCCCTGCCCCTGGAGCAACACAGGGGCTACATGGGAAGGCCAGACTGGCCTCCGTATCCTGCCCGGTTGCGCGCCTATGCGGACAGCCCCCCACCCTACAAGACCAAGCTGTAGGTCACCCTTGAACCACGTACAGCCACGGGCAGGGCAAGCTCCCTCCTCACTGCCCTGTGCCTAGGGGTCCAGGCCATGGCGGGACCCTCCTTGGGCTCTTGCACCCCCAAACCCTCTCTCCCTGGTCCCATCCCTCACCCCTCTGGATCCTGGGATTGCCATGCTGCCACTTGTGGGGAGCGGGGGTGGGGGGTGGGATCTGGCGTTTGTTCCTCTCTGGGCCCCCTTTCCCTGGCACCTGCTGCTTTCTGTTTTCTATTGTGTAGCTTCATGAGTATTGAACCCAAGTTCTGCGTCGCCTTCCTCCTCTCTCCCCTGGAGAGGGTGCATTTCTGAAGCCTCCGAGGAAGCAATCGTCTTGTGCTAGGGCTCCCTCTCCTTTTCCCCACCTCACCTCTGAGATCCAGCCCCGGGGGAGGAGACCCGCTCGGAGGAGCTGTGGACAGCTCCGTGCTGGGAGGGTGGTGACTAAGGTTGGAGTTGCAGCATGGGGGTCAGGAAGAATAAACCGTGTACATAAAAGATGTCTGGAACCACGCTTGCTTCTGTTTGTCTTGGAAGAGTGGCCCGAGCATCGCCGTGACCTCTGCCCATCAGGCCCTTTCTGAGATGGGGGAAGCCCTGGGAACTCCCTGTGGCTCGTGTGCCCCTGGAGATTGATTCACTTGGGCTTTCTGCCTTCTGCTAGAGTCAGCCTTGGTGGTGGTGGTGGTGGTGGTGGTGGTGGTGGTGGTGGTGGTGGTGTGGTGGTGGGGTGATAGGACCAAAAGGAGCTGGGAAGAAGGAGGAGTGAGAAGTTGGTGTTTCTTTTCCCATGTCCTTCCCTTCCTCACTCACCTCCATCCAGTGAGCCTTCAGCTTGGGCATGGTGACAGCTCCCCACTGCTGCTTGTCCTGCACACTGAACCACCTGGGTCACTACCCAGCCTTGCCCACACCTTTGCCAAGAACCCTTTCATGACAACGCTCCTGGATCGATCTCCCATTCCCAGTGTCTCCTGCTGCCACTGGGACCCTGCCTGATACTCTGAGCACCAGGATTCAACATACAAGCAATTAGGTCCCCAGGTGTCATTCTGGGCCCGAACTGTGGTTTCAGGGCCGCCCCTGGGCACGTTGCCAGGAAATGAGCCCTGGACAGAGATAAGAAGTGGAAGTGGGCCAGTCCTGCCCAGTAGAACTTTCTGTGATGACAGAAACGTTCCGCCTGCACCACCCCAGCCACATGGTATTACAGAGCCCTTGCAGAAGTATAGCTAGGTGACTGAAGAACTGCATTTTTCATTTCTTCAGTTGGAGTTGATATATATTTAAGGTTTTTACTCTATTTTTTTTTTGTGGTGGTAAAATATATAACTCACATAGTTAACCAGTATTGAAGCATATAAATCAGTGAGATTAGACTCATCCACAGTGTTGTAAACATCCCTTCTGTCAATTGAAATGACTACAGAACTGCTTAGCCCAGCTGGTGGTCCTTTCCACCCTGTCCTCTTCATCCCAATGGCCCCTGATTCTGAGCTATCCTCACTCCACCTTATTCCATCAGCAGGACCTGTTCCCTTGCTTCCAGCCCACATGCTTCTCCATCACCATGGAAACCACCGGAGGTCCAAGCTACCCCTCCTCTCTGAGCTCCATGCTTTCCCTCTAGCCACCTTCCAGCTCCAGGCAGCAGCCAGGGAGCTGTCAGTATTATACAAATCCAAACCCAGACATCACCTCTTTTCTGGGTTTACTGCTGCTATGAGGAGCCCAAACATGTACCAACATGAATCCCCCCCCTCCCCACACACGATCTGGCTCCATTAACATTAACCATTTCTGGCCCTGGCCTGGTAGCTAGCTCAGTTAGAGTGTTGTCCCAATACACCAAGGTTGCAGATTTGATCTCCCATCAGGGCACAGTCAAGAAGCAACCAATGAATGCATAAATAAGTGGAACAACAAATGGATGTCTTCTTCCCTCCTCCTCCTCCTCCTTCTCCTTCTCCTCCTAACCCACCACCTCCCCATCCTCTTTCTTTTCCTTCACCTCCTTTCCCTCTTCTTTTTTCCTTTTCTCCTTCCCCTTCTCCTCTTTCTCCTTCTCTTAAATAAAGAAATAAATTAAAAAAACACCCATTAACCACTTCTACAGAGACTCTGCCTGCCTCTCACTATGCTCCAGCCTACTATGTTCCTTCCAACACCAAGGCCTTTGCACATGCATTTCCTTCTTCCAGGAATACCCTTGCAGCTTGGCTCTGCCTAAATTCTTAACTAAAAATGCTCCTCAGCAGAAGACATCCCAGCTGTCCCAGACTGGGCTAAGCATTCCCTGTTATACCCATGTTTAGTTCCCTGTCAATCTCCCTGTGCTTAACATAGTAATTGTTCAACAATTAGTAATTATTACATAATTAATAATTGCTTATTTCAGCATTAGTACAGCATCATTTTACAAGCTCCATGAAGACATCTTCCCTGGGTCTCCTAGAGGATGGCGCATGGAGCAGGGGATCAGTATGTGTGCTTAGGTTTCTCCTTGTTTCCATCTCAGACCCCAGCAGTAGCCTCACCCGATCAAGTCCATCCCCTATGCGGGTCAGACCATGTCCCTCCCCTACTGACACCCATGTCTTCCTCTTGCTCCCAGACACCACCTAGTTCCCTCTTAAGGGCTTTTAATACTTGCCAACCTGGCAGGCACCTCTCCTGTTGTGTCCCTCCCACCTTTTAATCTACCGACAAAATGGGCTGTTCTCATTGTTTCTTGCAGTAACATCAATGGTCCAGCCCCTGCTCATTCCACTGAGAATGGTATCATGGACTTGGTAGGAATTTACCTGATACCGGTCAACCCTCTTTTTCCTTCTCATAGGACTCTGGTTTGCTTTGACCAAACCTATGTGGCTTAGGGGAAGTTGAGCAGCGTGACCCAAGCTTCCTCTGGTATTGGTGGGACTTCTTGGGGAGAGTGACATGCCCTGTTGCCTGGGGTTGCTGAGCTGGGAAGATATGTCTGGAGCTACCTAGGGTATATGTCACCAAATGACAGAGCCTTCCAGACTGATGGAGAGAGACTGTCTTCATGACATTGCTGGAAGTCCTGGATCAAGCTTTACCTGAAGCCCACACTGCCTCTTGATTTTTGGTTTATGTCAGTTTCCATTGAGCTTCTTGGAACTCAAAAGTTGTGACTGATCTCTGTATCTTTTTTCTCCCTTCTCTCTCTCTTGAGATTGTGTTTTGTTTGCTTCTGTGTGTCAAGTGTATTCATTCTTTTTTTTAAAAAAAAGTTTTAAAACCTCATCTGAAATATGTTTATTGATTTTTAGAGAGAGGAAAGGAGAAAGAGAGAGAGAGATCTATTTGTTACCTCCCATATGCACCCTGATGGAGGATCAGACCTGCAACCCAGGTATGTGCCCTTGACCAGGAATTGAACCCATGACCATTTGTTGTGCCAGCTGATGCTCTAACCACTGAACAACACAGACTAGGTCTCTAGTGTATTAAATCTCAAAGCTCTGGTGACTAGCCCAAGGCTGGGCCAAGAGTGAATGCCTGGTAGATGTGGAATTAATAAGGCTAGACGGTGAGGGTAGAAACCATGAGAACTGTGGATGTGTGGAAAGGAGAGACGAGTCCCTTCGAGGAAGGTGATACGTGATGGCCGCCTGGAAGAGGTGGCAGCTAACTCGGGCTTTGAGGATGGATAGCATGTGGGGAGAAGGGAGGTGTGTCTCAGGTGCATGAGTGTGTGTTGGAGGTGTGTGTGTTCCAAGAAAAGTAACACCTGCTCACATCACCTACCCTTCACTGGGAGCGGGGGCCCGCGTGCCATGCAAAGGGCTTTGGGCCCCTTTGGGGGTTACAGGAGAGAGGGGGCCTTTGCTTCCACCTGGGGCTCCTTCCAGGGGTGGGGCCTGACTCACCACAGCTCTCTCAGCCTCAGGGTTCTTTTCTGTTCTCCCTGTTCTTCCAGGCATCTTGGCCCTTCCTGCTGCACCCAATGCAGACCTGGTGGGTGGTGGGTGGTGGGTGGTGGCTGGCATCATGGCAGTAGTGCTCATAACACAGGGTTGTCATGGCAACCGGCTGTCCTGTTTTCCTGGAGACAGGCCTGAGTTCTGGGCCCCGGAAGGATGAGGACTCATATCTTTACCTTCTGTGTATTGTGGGAGGTGCAGGCTAGGCCCCCTTGGGGGATACACAAGTTTCTGCTCAAGGGCCAGGCATCAACCCAATAGGGAAGCTGAGGCCTCCAGGGGTCCTGTATCATGTGACTCTGCCCATCATCTACCTCACACCCAGTCCCACCAGACTACACGGCTCCTGGCACTCTCCCTCCTCAAGGTCAAGGTCGTCAAACAGGCCATTCCCTCTTCCCGGAAGGCCCTGCTTTCTTCCTGGCCACATCTTCAGCCTGAATGTTCCTCCCTGCCATCCTGGCTCAGCCTGGCCCCCCCTAAGTAACTAGGCCCCAACTCGAGCTTCTATCATGTTGACAATTATATTATTGCTTCTTTGCTTGTGTGTTGAATGGTTTAATAAATGTTCCCTCTGCCAGATGTGACGCGCGAGCAGCCTTAGTCACAGCTGTGTCCCACACTCCAGGAGGCTGTTCTCAATACATCTTTGTCGACACTCTCCCGCCTTGCTCCAAGCTTTGCCCATGTCACCCCAGCCAATGTAGTTTCTTGTCTCTATCTTTTAGGCTCTTTCTGGCATCAGGTTTGGGGCTTACATGATACTTCCACCGGAAAGATCCTGGGCCCTTCCACACAAAAAATGTTTTGGAATGTTGGAAGATCCTAGAATATTCTGTCCCCTGCTTTTAGTAATGCTGGACATCACCTCCTTGAAGAAGCTGTTTCTCACTTATGGCTAAAGTAGTCCCTCTTCGCTTGGTGGCTCTCAGTTTACTGACTTCATGGCTGTTATCACCATCACGAAAGGCCTTGGTCATTGATCAGTTTATGTGTCTCAGATTGTCTTTCCCATTAGAATGCAAT